GTTTCGAAGAGTTGATGATGCAAGCCAAGATGCTAGGGAAGCTAGGAATCATCAGAGTTCATGCAGCACTTGGAAGAACATACACTAAAAATAATTTAATGGGAAATAGTTGAATGAACAGTTGATTTGTGTGGTTCGTCTTATGCATAGGGAATGGACAGTGCTTCCATAGAATCTCTCACCTGGTAAGAATGCAAAATCTACATAGTTTATCAGCTGTATTGTGAAATCCTGACAGTAAGTCCTTTTATCTGCACTAGTCTTACGTATTTTTTATTCTTTCTATTAACTGATGTATAAAAATACAGGTTGGACTAATTCAAAGCAACAATTTACATATTAAAGCAGTATGCTTAAGTACTTTCTTGCAAGGGAAAACAGATTATATGTTTGTTAGGAGAAGCTCAATTTTTGTAGAGAAGAATTTGAAAAGAAAATTGACAGTTTTTTTCTTTCATTCACAGACATAGCAGTTGAGACTAGCAAGAAATAATTCCTACAGAACACCACTGCATCAAAGTCTGTAAGTTTAAACTAAAAACAATAGGAGAAAGGGAAAGTTTGATGACAGATTGAGTATCAGAACATAGCTGCAGGACCTTCACAAGCGAGGGCTTGTGAACAGTAGGGATTACCAGTAAAGGGGCAGAAGAGAAGAAAGTAAATGAACATCTTATGCAGGAGAAGAGAATTTACTTGAGAGGAAATGAAACATAAACAGGCTAGGAGTCCATACTGTATGGAAGCTTAATAGTGGATGTTGTTGCTTAGAACAGTGTTTTTAATATTTAAAGATGTATTATTTTACAATTCAGCTTTGCAGACAAATTCAAATATGTGATGAGGTTAACCTCTACAGAACTTCTCACACATACAAAACTTCTACCACAACCCCCAAGGAAGAAATATCTTCAGTTTATGCAGATTGGCAGCTGCAAAAATGACTTGTACCTCGTTCCTGACTTTTTAAAAAGACAGGATCGCTTGCATTTGCTCTCAGATAATGAGCCTCTGGAGAAGGCTAATTTCATAGAGCTTTCATAATGCTTTCACTTTTTATGTAACCAGTGTCAAAGCAGAAGTATTGGGCACCCTTCAAGGTCTTAAGACTATTGATTTGGAATAGAAGGACTGAAAATTATTGTTGATAACTGCCATCTAGTCAAAAATAAATAGTATTAGGACTGATGAGCTACTTAATGTTCTAGCAACTCTAAAACATGCAACATATCAAAGATGCACAATCTTAGTAAAAACAATCAAAATGCAAAGTGGCTTAACATTTGTATGCATCTATAAGGTCATATTTGTTATAGCTGTATTTTCTGTCTTTGTGTTAAATGACTCCCACTTTAAACTAATGGTAAATATTATTTCCAAACAATAACAGTGGGTGCAAAATAATAGAAATGTGTTTCAAATGCAAATTGGTGTATGTACAGCACTTAGATAGTATGTTCCAGTTGAAGGCTGTAAGTAGTTCACAATGCAAATTTTCAAAAATACCAAGCAGGTCAATAAGAATGAAGAAGCCATCAATTTTTAAAGGAAAAACTACTGAGCATGTGTTACATATCTATCAAGCCTTTCCAAATCTCAGGTTCTAATAAATTCTAAAGCTCTTCTAGAACATTTAAGTCTTGACGTATCTAAAAGCACTACACAGATAGGAATATAGACAGAAGCATTGTACAGACAACAGAGATTCTATTTATTTTCCTACCAGCAAAAACTAGGGGGAATTCAGCCATTATTACTTGCATTTGACATCAACCAGCTGGTGAATTAGCGTGCTTGCTGTTCCAGCTGAGCTGTTCACTCTTGTGCTGTTTATTGCTTGGCTGTCTGGTGTAAAGCAACCCAGATAAGGACTGTGTGAGGAATCCAGCAGTACTTAGGGTAGGGTGCATAGACATATTTTTCCTGCCTATTAAAGCTCAGATAATGATGATTTTGGAGAAAAAGAGAAGTGTTGATACCACTTGTCTACTTCTGAATTCTTATTTTTTAGTTGGTTTTTTTTTTTCAGTAATTAGCATAAAGGTTTGGTTGAATAAGGTTAATTTAGACAGTCATTTTATGCAGTCCCTAGCTGCAGTTTTATTATGAACAAAATGCTTTCATTTATATTGAAGTCAGCTGTAGTGCTTGTGAAAGTTAATAGTGAGAAGCGAGGCTCAAGTTTATTTGTACTGTATCTTAAAATAAATGCCTACATCCTTCAGTTGAGAACAAGGAATTTGGAATGAGATATATACGATGCAAGGGAAATCAGATCAGATCTGTGCAAAGCGGAGAATTCTAGATTAAAGATCCTGAGTTCTTTTCACTGTTTTTCTGCTGATACGCAGCATGCCTGAGGGATGGTGTTTCAGCAGCACCTTCTGATCTCAGGCCTTCAGTGTGAAGTACCTCAATCATGTTTTATGGAGCTACTGAATTCTCTTGTTCATGAAGGTGGAAGAATTAAAGCTGAGCTGTGGGAGAGGGGGATAACTTAGGTGAGTTTTATAGGTGTAAAATAAACACATTTGTGAATTGCTTGAAGACATGTCTTGCAGAAGATCAGTATTGCAAAATGATTAGTATGATCTTGTCAAAGCTTTTCAAGAGAAAGCTTTGCTATCCTTTCAATCTTTGAAAGAATATTAATGGGACTATTTATGCTTAATGTGAATGAGGTTTTTTACCTTGCAGAGCTGGGATCTAAAGCGGTGTAGATTTGTTATAGTCAATGAAAATTCCCTGAGGCCTCATTGTTGTGTCAGTCTAGCTTGAGAGAGTGGAAGCAGGAGTCTGCAGAGCTCAGATGATCAGCACAGATTTATGAGGTGGGAATCATAGGTGCTCCATACCATCTGGTATCACATGCACTATCTTGTACCACATCGCAGTGATACAGATCACCATCGGTTAGATTTGTTTTGCATTCTTCCCACAGTGTTAGTGCATAAGCTGTGTGAAGTGATGCCTAGAAACTTCAGGCTTGATTTTATGAGAAACACCAGACTGAAATTCATATTACCCCCTTTATGTGATGGTGGTGAGAGTACTACTGAAATGCTAGTTATGGGTTACATACATTTTAAGTAGGACTAAATCACATTAAAACATCAGAAGTATGCTTAGCAAAAAAGCTTAATCCAAAGAAAGCTAAGTGGTTAATTGATTGTGAGGTGTTGGTAGTGTGCACAGAGGAAGGATTTTTCTCATAGTAAGTAACTCTTCAATCTGTTAGATAAAGACGCAGCAGGAACCAGTCTTAAGAAACTGCGATTACAAGCAAGGTGCAGATTTTGACCATGTAATCAACTATTAACACACTTAGCTGTGCGGGTGGTAACTTCTCCATTTCAGTAAGTCTTTAAGTCAAGGCTGAATTCCTCTGCAGAAAACAGTGCATCTCAGATGCTGTGGACTGATGGAGAAGTTGCTAGTGAGATTCAGAGGAGGTCAGATCACGTGGCAGCTGCCCCTTCTGATCTGAAGTCTCTGAGATGCAGGCACAAAATTCTCTAAATATCTTAATTCTGGTTCATTTCTCCAGGTGTTGAGAAGTTCAGCACCTTGAGAAAAGATTTCAAAAGAGCTGTTGCTCGGGTGTCATCCTGTTCTATTTAAGCAAAAATGCAGTAAAACACTGCATAGACATCCTAATCAAGATGGGCACTGGACACGTGTTTGTGCAGTAAATTACAGGATTTTAAATCACCCATATATATATTTTTAAACCTTTCAAGAATGAACTAAGGAATTGTTTCCGATGACCACAGGGACTCGTCTGGGGGAAAAAGAAAATCTGGCCTGAAGAATAAACACGATGAGATTGGTAGATTCTCTTTAATTGAAAAGATTCAGGCTGAAAGAATCCATCAGTAAATGTGATGAGCAAATGCTTAGTGCTTTGGTTAGATTTGTGTTTGCATCCCAAACCAAGATAGCTAGAGAAGCTTAAACATTTGGAAGTTCACAAAACATTCTCTGTATTGTGTAAGTGCTCTCTTACATCAATGCTTTCTAGATATCATATTGAATGTTATATTGCATATTAAATTCTGGGTTTCTTTCCAAGTTACCTAAGGTGGCCGCTACAGGGAGAAGATATTTTTCTCAGCTGCACTTTTGTTGCATTTAATCATGGTAATTATTTCCATATATCTTGTTACCTCAGCGTTTTACAGGAGGTTGACAGAGTTGAGCTGTCACCAGACTGAATGACTCAGCGAGTTTCCGCATGCAGCTGTGCTTGTGCATTTCACGTGGTCAGTTGGTGTAAACACGTTCCTCGCTAATGCAATTTCACCTTTGTACAGGGTTACCTTTGTTCAAAGCATAGCTAATAAGTCAGTGATTAACAGGGGATTGGTTAACACAGCTCATTATGTTATGCAATTTAGATATTGTACCTCTTTTCTCCAGTGGAGGGTAGGGAAGAAAGAAAGGGGGGGAGGGGTAGGAAGAAAAAAGGAGGTGAAAGTTTCTGCTGTTTCTGAGCTCTGCTTGTTCACCTGGGCTTGCTGTAGGCCTGAGTGCTCAGAGCCGGGTCTGGTCACACAACTGAGCTGGGCACAGCAGAGCTGCAGCCGTGGCCAACGCCTCCACCGTGCTGGAAACCGCATTGCGATAAAACTCCCTAGCATTTACAGGATCCCAGGGTCTGTCCCGGCACGAAGGGAAAGCTGAGGCTGGAGCTGGCAGCACGTCCCGTGGACGCTGCTCGCCCGCCTTGGGCCGGCTCGGGGCGGGCTGCTGCCCCGGGGAGCGCAGCGCGGCACTGCACGTGCTCGCCTGCCATCTGCTGGTAGCGGCAGCCGCGGTACGGAGCTGTGCCCGCGCCGTCACCCACGGGATTTTAAAATCGGCCGTAGGGGCGGCTGTAGGCGCTGCGCCCGGCAGGGTCCCGCTGTGGGCGGGAATCCCCGCCCCGTGCCCGGCGGCGAGCGGCTCGCTGAGCCCAGCCCGAGCCCCAGCCCCAGCCCCAGCCTGAGCCTGCCGGGCGCCCGTAGCGGGGCGTGGCTCTGCGGAGCGGAGAGGCGGCCATGGCGGCGGGGAGCGCCATCCAGATCCCCAGCCGGCTGCCGCTGCTGCTCACCCATGAAGGCGTCCTGCTGCCCGGCTCGACCATGCGGACGAGCGTGGACTCGCCGCGCAACATGCAGCTGGTGCGCAGCCGGCTGCTGAAGGGCACCTCGCTGCGCAGCACCATCATTGGCGTCATCCCCAACACCAGCGACCCCACGTCCGACAGTGACGACCTGCCCTCGCTGCACAGGTGCCGCCGCCGCGCCCTGCCCTCGCGGCCCTCGGCCACGCTGCTCTCGCCTGGGCCGCGGTGGTGCCTCCGGGCCGGGGTCGCGCTGAGGGGAGCGGAGCTCTGCTCCCGGCCGGGGGAGTTCCTGTGCGTGGGACGGGGGCGGCGCCGTGCGGGTCTGCTGCTGGGCGAGTCCGAGAATGGGAGCCGGCTGGGACGGAGACGATCCGAGAAAGCGGTTCGGGGTCATTAGGGCTGTACCACTTATTAGTGATAGAAAGTCAGTTACTTTATTCAGTGAGAGTAGTGTGGAAGATACAGTTCATGTGAAGTGAAAGCCAGTTTCTGAGGGATCAACTGTGCATAAAATTAACGTGCTGTATTCCTTGTGAAACTTATATCCATCAGTAGATTTAGTAAGGTTTTGCAGTATGTTTCAATTCTGCTTAAACAGGCAGTTTGGCCAGATAAATGTGATCTAAAGCATTAGTTTTGCACGAGACAGGCAGTTTTGATAGAAAACTGTAAATTATAAAGGATCATTTTTCTATTGTGTACAGTTTGAGCAGAAATGTAGGTGTTCTGTTCCTGTTGCCTAGTAATTTATTTAGGAGAAAATCACGTTTCTCCACACATGTATGTGTTACATTACCATCATCCATTTTTCAGTTGTCTTGTTTTTTTAAAATTCAAGGTGTGGTTTCATTGATCTCTGTCACGAAGGAAGTTCTCTAAGGTTGCTGATGAGGAACAGTGATGGCCTATGAGGCTCTGTAGCTCAGTTGCTTTGTGTGAGGGGCACATGAAATGTTCTGTGGAAGGTGACAAATAATAGAAAGATTTGATCTGTTTCCAGGATTGGCACTGCTGCTTTGGCAGTTCAGGTGGTTGGTAGCAACTGGCCCAAGCCACATTATACACTGCTGGTTACGGGCCTCTGCCGGTTCCAGATCCTGCAGCTGCTGAAGGAGAAGCCGTACCCTATTGCAGAAGTTGAGCAATTGGATCGACTCGAGCAGTTTACAAATCAGCATAAGTCTGAGGAGGAACTTGGAGAGTTGTCAGAACAGTTCTACAAATATGCTGTGCAGGTAAATTGGTTTAATTCTATTCACTTTAAGTCAGTGCACTGACACATGCGCTTTGTTGCTCTTTTTTTCCTTTTTTTTTTTTTTTTCTTTTTCATTTGTTTGCTCTCCTCTCTTTGTACCTCTTACATTTTTTTTAGTGAAAGTAGGATTTCTGCTAGAAAGGTATTGTCTTTGGTATGGCTTGAGATTTCCATGTTGAGTTTGAGAATCTATGCAGTGCATTTCAGGATGAGTCTAACAGTACATGTAAATGTTACAATAACTTTATAGTAGTTCTGATGTACTGGTACCGTAAGTACATTATAGCAAAAAACAAAAGAAAGCATATTTATGTATATATACGTATATTGCTTTTGAAAAAGTATTTTTTCTGAAATTCCTGGTACATATAATGGATTTTTAAAGCTGTATACTATTAAATGGGAAAAAAGCACACCTGTATAGAATCCTTTTACAAACACATGTCCTCAGGTATAATAAATTAAGTGTTTAAAGAGGTACAGAGGAAAGAACTGGGGTGGTTTTTAATCAGGGTATTTGAAAAGTAATAGAAGATGTTGGCATTGAAAAAAGCGCTAGGAGCAGTGATGATAATTATGATCTTCTTGAGCTAGTATGAAGTCCAGAGTCTTGGTTGCCTATTCTTCTTCTATGTGCAAATATTTTTTTTTCAGAACATTTTTGGCAAAGCACGTTTAAAGATGCAGTGCTCTTAAAATCAGATACTTGATTAAATGAATTAAAAAAGAAACATCCAACAACTATGAATATTGTTCGTTGTGTGTTCCTTACAGTTGGTTGAGATGCTGGATATGTCTGTTCCTGCAGTTGCAAAGCTGAGACGTCTTCTGGACAATCTGCCTAGAGAAGCTTTGCCAGATATACTGACTTCAATCATTCGTACGTCCAACCAAGAGAAGCTTCAGGTATTATGTCCTTAAACTATTTTAAGGTGAAATGTTTGCTGCTTTTCTATAGTTATAATCACTTTTAGGGTAATTTTGACAGGTGGTGATAATATTATGCCAGAAAATATTTCTGTTACAACCAAGCAGAAATACTTAAATGTTTTCATGCTCTTGCTTCATATATCTTTCTATATGCCTTTACATGAGAATTCACTTAAAAGCTAAATGAATGTAGATGGTGTGGGGAACTGTTCATTTCATTGAGTGACAAGAGATACAGCCTGGATTTCATAGAATTGGAGAATGTTTTGGGTTGGAAGAGACCTTTAAGGTCATTTAGTTCCAGTGCCCCTACTTGTAGGAAGGTACATCTCCCACTGGACCATGTTGCTCAGAATCCTCTGCAGCCTGGCTTTGAACACCTCTAGGGTAAGGACAACCACAACTTCTCTGGGCAACCTGTTCCAGTGTCTCACACAACCCTCACAGTATAGAATTTCTTCTGGTATAAATTTAAATTAAAAAAAATATAAATTTTATGAAATATAAATTTTAATGTATAAAATATAAAATAAATACAAGTTTGGGTTGGATGTCAGGAAAAACTTCTTTACAGAAAGGGCTGTTGAACGCTGGAACAGGCTCCCCAGGGAAGTGGTTCAGTCACCATCCCTGGATGTGTTTAAAAACCGTATGGCTGTGGTGCTCAGGGACATGATTTAGCAAAGGGTTGTTAGAGTTAGGGTAGTATGGTTTGGTCATGGTTGGACTCGATGATCTTTATGGTCTTTTCCAACCTGAGTTGGGATTCTATGATTCTATGATCCTGTTGCTACCTCCCCTTACAAAAAGTCCCTCCCCAGCTTTTCTGTAGGTCTCCTTCAGGTACTAGAAGGCCATTAGAAGGTCCTCCAGGCGCCTTCTCTTCTTCAGCCTGATGAGCCCCAGCTTTCTCAGCCTGTCCTTGTAGGGAAGCTTCTCCAGCCCTCTGATCATCTTCATGGCCCTCCTCTGGGTCCACTCCATGTCCTTCTTGCACTGGGGTCTCCAGAGCTGGACATAATGCTCCAGATGGAGTCTCATGAGAACAGAGTGGAGGGCATTTCCCATTGCCATGGTAAAGATGATAAGTCTTTCTTCGAATTGTGTTGAAATCTTGCTTATTTAATGAAGCTGACAGATCATTATATTAATTTTGCTTGCTTTCGCACACTGACTTAAACAAACGTGAAAATGAAATAAAGTATAAAATACATGTTTTGTTTTCAAAAGGAAACAAGGAAAATAAGGAAAACATGCCTTATGGCATAAGGTGATGTTTTTCCGGGGGGTGTTTTCATGGAAGGAGCTCTTTTCTGAGGCTCAGTAATTGAGAAGTAAACTGCTGGTAGATGTTTTCTAGATAAAATGTAACCAAAATAATAAGACAATTGAAAGCAGAATAAAAAATTATATATTTTTTGGTACTTTTGAATTACTTTGTAGTTTTGCTGTCCAGACCTTGAAGCTAGGTTTTGTGTGCTGTATTCTTTTATTTTCTTGCTACCTCTTTTTTCCCAAACCATTTAATTTACAACTATGATCAAAAGACTGCAATGACATCCTATGTGTTCCCCTTCTCCTCAGTGATGACCTATTAATGTGAGTTTGTTGGCTTCTCATAACTCCTTGCTCTTAGATCCTAGATGCTGTTAGGCTGGAGGAAAGGTTCAAGATGACTATACCATTGCTTGTTAGACAAATTGAAGGACTGAAGCTTCTTCAGAAAACAAGAAAGCACAAACAGGATGATGATAAAAGGGTATGGACCTTTAAATCTGGGATTCTTAAGCATCATTCATAAATGTAACGATGCACTTTTAAGCAGGCTAGTGAAGGTGTGCAATTGTAATCTGTTCAAGGTTTTAACCTGTGGCCATAGGATTTAATGCTTAGGCTGTATCAGTGGAGAACCCCCAGCTTGCAACTTCAGCTGTTCAGACATCTGAAAAAGAAAACATTTTTTTTGAAGCAGCCTGGGCATCATTTATTTCATCTGAGCACTTTATGATTTCACATAAGGTTCCATTAAATAGTAATTTGATAGCCAGTTAACTTGCATGATATGTGCACACTGCAGTGAAAAGCGTGCAGTTTACTAATAACATTGAAGATGAATCATGGCTTTTGAAATACAGATAATTGATATGTGTTGTGAAATGTAGTTTGCTTAACTGTGGCAGGCTGCATCTAATTGTACATGTACAGTTTAGCAAACAAGAAATAACTGACAAATGAAAAAGAGTAAGAGAGATTACACCTCTCTGTATTTACCACCTGTAAATATTTTGCTTATCCTGCCTAATAAGATGGGCTGCAGTGCCAGCTTTTCAAAATATTGGAAGAACTTTTTCAATTTTGTTTTTGTCTTCTGTTATCTACTAGATTATGGTGGATGACAAATGTACTTAGTAAATACATACAGTAAAGTACAAATGGTAACTTTTTAAAGTAGTACCAATAACACTTTAACTATTTACTGGATTAAAATTTTCAGACTTATTCTGTTAAGTAGTTTCTCCCAAATCCTTGTATGTTTTTGTCACAGTTTCCATTAAAAGTCAAAGTATTCACTTTATTTAAAAAAAAAAAACAAACAACAAACTGGTGCTACTTACTCTCTGCCTGTTATCTGTTTCACAGGTTGTAGCTATTCGTCCGAATAGAAGAATCAATCATATTCCAAGCACTGCAGAAGATGAGGAGGAGGAGGAAGATCACGATGATGTTGTCATCCTTGAAAAAAAGATTAGAACTTCCAGTATGTCAGAACAAGCTCTTAAAGTTTGTCTTAAGGAAATAAAGAGGTAGGAGAAGTGGAAATGGTGGTTTCTTTCTTAATTTATTTTTCGGAACAAATGTTGTGTTAATGTTTTACATAATGATATATTTGTGTTGGTTGTGTTTGGAAATAATTTTTAGAATTTTATTTATGTGCTGCTATTTTGCTTTTTCTTACTTGTTGTTTTGGAACATCAGAGAGGATGACAATTTAGTCTTTTACATTTGGCTTATGAATTAATACAGCTTTAAACTGCAAGCTCTAGATCTCTATGTTATGAAGTGAATGCCTCAAAAGAAAAACAGAGGGGACAGATAACACCACAGTTGTTAATAATTAATGAGAAAAGTGGTCTGCATATTGATTCTTTTTTCCTTTCTCTGTCTTTGTGAGCGTATAACTGCTATTGGGGATGATATGATCATTAACAACCTCATCAGTGATACCATGTATTTGTGCATATGTACACGTCTATGTATTTTATATGTTTAGTGTGGTGCATGCATCTTGTATGCTGTGTGAGCTTAGAAGTGTGATGCTTGTTTTTTTTCTGCCAATGTCATACAAATAAGCTATCATTATGCAAAGACAAATCTTGTCATTGATGTAACAGTGACTTACTTTTTTAGTAATACAGATGTTGGAAAGTAAAAGGGTTTGCTAAGTATAGCTTTTTTTAGTGCAAGAGAGTGTCTTAGTTTGCTGTTAGTTCCCCACTAGCCTTATTACTTCTATGCATTTACTTCCAGATTAAAGAAGATGCCTCAGTCGATGCCAGAATATGCTTTAACACGAAATTACTTGGAGCTTATGGTAGAATTGCCATGGAACAAGAGTACGAAAGGTAGACCCTTCTATAATCGTTGTCTGTCTCTTGCGCAGGCATGTTAGGACGAGTAGCTGCGATGTAAAGACAGAAGAATGTACTTAGTTCTCTCTCCCAGTTTTTTTTGCATTGTCTCATAGTAAAATGCTATTAGTGGTATCAAGTAATGCAGTTTATCATGTTTAAATAAAGATCTGTGTACTGAATAGCCCATGTAGCTCGGTTGCACAGCCAGAAACACGAGTTAAACAAGCAATATCTACACAATAAAATGGTGGTGTTGTTACTTGCAATCCTGTGCTGTTGCATACTTTGTTATTCTAAAAACTGGAATATGGTTACATCACAGTGCAACAGGTATGTTTTTGAAGAGGTTATGTTGTATTTGCTAGTCTTTATGGCAGTCAAGACCTCTGTATATTTACAGCTTTTTTGTTTTTGCTAACTGCATTTCATGTATGATTAATTGCATCATGTCGTATTGCTATGGCAATACAGTGAAACCATGGTTAAAAAAAGATCCATACTGTGCTTCTCAAAATGTTTTTTTACTGTCCTGAAACACTGGAATTGTTTTCCCATAAATTTTTTTTTATTAGTCTCAAACACGACTATTTTATAATCACAGTCTGTTAAAACTGTGGATGCAATAGGAAAAAAGAAGTATCATCTCAAGTTTTTACCATTGTTTTCAAAAACTTTGAGCAGAAATTGATATAAATGTAGGAGTGAGATACAAAAATGGAGATCAGGAAATTATAGACCAACACGAATTGATTCAATGGGCAGAAATGCTTCCCAGGAGTGTTCTGAAGAATGAAGCTTTTGGATGGCATTTAAAACAATCTGCTTTATAAAGAATATGCACCAGCAGAAACATCTGTCTGTTTTTTGCTTTCTTAGTGTGCACGGTGACAAATGTTGACCTTTTTGAATTAGAGCCTAGCATGTTCACCAGTCTACTTACAGATATTTTCTTTAATGACTGAATGGTAAAAAGATCTGCCTACGTGTGTCAGTATTACTCAAAAAAACACAGAATGGGTAAAGTGTTTGTTGACTCTCGTGTCCTCTCACAGGAGTTTGCTCTTCAGTCTTGCAGAATTATGCAAAGTTGTGGTTTGAAGGTTTTTTCTGGAAACAAAGTTGGAAAAATTATATTCATATACAAGAGTGATGCTTTGGGCTCCATGGGAAGAGAGAATAAAAATGTACATGAATGGAAAAAGGAGAAATACAATTAAAAAGACCTGGAAAATTATTATCATTAATTAGTTTTTTATTCAGTGATTCATTGCAAAGAATGACATAGTTGATGATGGGAATTTCATAGCAGCTGTCCATAAATGAAATATGCACAGTTACTGGGATGAAGGGTTTGTATCTGCAGTGAAGCTGAAGGGTAGGTCTGTGCAGAGTTGATTGACTTCATTGTTTTCTGCTTTCTCTTCTATGTCATAGAGCAGAGACAGCTGCTTTGTGCCAGAAATTTGTGCTCTGTCTAATGCACTAGTTAAAGTCCTTTTATTATGCATGACAATTTATCTCCAATTATGGCAATTGTAAAAACCGAATTTTTCCAGTCCTAGTATCAACTGGGTATTTTGCACAGTGCAGTCACTTCAAGTGTATAGCTAGCAAAGCCCGCCATTCAAGCCTTGTGAGGTAGTAACACACTATAGCGTAAATAAGGGAGATGAAGACATAGGTTGAATTTATCTTCTGAAAAGACCTTATGGCTTCAGGTTCAGTTCTGTGAGATGACAAATGCTGGAAAATGTGCGTGTTGTTCAGCTGCTGTTCCAGGACAGATATTAAGTTCATTTGATCCAGATTTTAAATCTGTGACACAGTAAAAAGATGTTTCCATTTTTGTTGTTAATTCTCTTATCCATAGAGTGATCTCTCCAGTTTGTGTTTAGTTTTCTTCTTAAAAAAATAAGGCTTATAATTACCTTAGCAAAATGTTGTGTGGAATATAAATGTGAGCATTGGGTGAATTATGTTGATGAACACGTGAAAATGTATGAATTTCTGTTGCGCAGTAGGATTGTTTCCATTTCTGAAGATAAATGCGCTGATATTCTTTCTGTTGTTAATGATTGATAGATCGCCTTGAAATTCGTGCAGCTCGAATTCTTCTGGATAATGATCATTATGCTATGGAAAAGTTGAAGAAAAGAGTTTTGGAGTACTTAGCTGTCAGGCAGCTAAAAAACAACCTCAAGGGACCCATTCTTTGTTTTGTGGGACCCCCAGGAGTTGGCAAAACCAGTGTGGGAAGATCAATTGCAAAGACTTTGGGTCGAGAATTCCACAGAATTGCTTTAGGAGGTGTCTGTGATCAATCTGATATCCGAGGCCATAGGTATGTATTTCCCTTTTTATTACGTGTAATTTATTATTTTATTACAGAACACACTGATTATTTTTGTTGTTCACATGATGCGGAGGAGTTCTACTTATTTTGAATACTGTTATCACTCACTGTTTCTCTTTGGTATTCAGTGGTATTATTCAGGAGAGAATTTTAATAATGAGAGCGGGCATTCACTGTTGACACTTGTTCTTTGTTCTTTTCTGCTACTGCCTTTTTATTCTAAGTGGAGTATGGAATAATCATACCTGGATCTCGAACTGTGGCAAGATCCATGACCCGTGAACTTCATATGCTTGGGATAATTAAAGCTGCCTTTATATTTCTAAGTTATTTATAATCTTCAGGTTCCTTAGGCCCTTTTTTTTTTTTTTTTACTTGCATCTCTTTATACATCTACTTCTCAGTTTTCTAGATGATTTTCTTAAATCAACCAGTTTCCCATACTCTGCTGGAAGAATAATGAATAGATAATGTTGGTAAGTAACTGCTAAACATCAGTGCAGCATTTTTTGGTTCCATTAAGTACATCTAATGATCTGTAGAACCATGTGATTTCTCCTTACAACAGCTGGTAAATTACTGCAAATTAAAACTATTAGTTTTTTGATGCTATGTAAGCAGTTAATTTTGCCCAATGGCTGTGCTAGTGGCCTGAACTGTCAGAATGCACTACCAGTGTTGTTCCAGTTCCAAATTCACTCCTTTTTATTTTCATGACATAAAATACACCTTGGAATTTTTACCACTTCACTATTAATTTAAATGAAAAGTTAAATGTCTAACAAAAATTCATTTTGTGGTGTCAGATTTTCCAGTGTGTAAGCTAGTTTAGCATGTGAGTATATTAGAGTACTGCAAATTCACAGTCTCTACTAACAGGAATGCAGATGACTTAGTGGGAAATGTACTGAAATTCTTGTGTGTGAACTTGTAACAGTCTAGAGTTTAATATACTGTTGGTATACTATCGATCACTTTTTAGACCAGAATGGAGAGAAGAAACATTGGAACTGCAATGTTGTATTTGATACACCTAGCTACACCTGGTGTTTGTGGCATGAATGGTATTTGTGAGGTTTTCTTAGGGTAGGTTTGATCAGCATTCACAGAAGACACTGTGGGATTAAATATTGAGTATAGTTGTACATTTGTTTGATTAAATACATCAGTTTTTTGTGTATAGCAGCACTCTGTGTGGTTGATTAGACACTAATGGAAAAAGAAGCAGAACTGTCCTTCACAGGGTTTTATTCCTTGTATTTCATAAACTGGCACTGTTTACTAAGTAAGAATTCTGGTGTTTCAAATTATTTATTGTATGAATCCTAAAAAGCAAGCATAGTGCAGCTACTACAAGTTGCTGTTTGATATTGGAACCACTAGAGGTTGTTGAATATTAAGCATTTACAGACATTAAGGAACTTTTTCCAGGGCTGAGTAAAGCTTGAGCTTTTCTAGAAGACCAATGTGTACAAAGCAGATGTTATGGAAAGAAAGTAGGACTGTCAACAGCTGTTACTCAATTGCCAGTAATTTCTTATGGTTTTTTGTTTGTTTGTTTATTTTTGGCTTTGTATCTTGTGTTTGTTTCTGTTATGGAGAGCTGCAGTCATAGGATAATGGCTTCAAAAACAGAAATTCAGGTACTTGTGGCTGCCATTACAATATTTTCGCATGTTATAAATTAATCTTTAGTATTAAAATAAATACTTAAAATTAGAAAGTATTTGACAAGACAGGAAGAGAAAAATACTATCTAGAATTAACAGGAGTTCTGGATGGTTACTTTTCAGCCATGTAGCTGAAGACCAAAACTTAGTGGTGGTTAGTAAGGGTCCCTTGTAATCACCTGCTTTGCATGTTTCATGTTAAGTAAAATCTAGCAGTTGAATGCAGTTTTTTTTTCTGTGTTTCTGTTTCATTGTTTTGTTTCTTCTCAGCTTTTCTATAGTCTTCCCTCCATAATGTTGTTTTCATGAGTAGATCCTCAAGTTAATCCCAGTCAAGAGAATCCATATTATGCTTCCAGTGGCAATCATGGAAGAGAATTTCAGAAGCAATCTAAAAGTGAAGAAGACATAAGCTCTTCTTCTCCAAGTTTGACTTTCAAGTGGGCCTATTTTCTAATGCTGCGTGTTAGGAGCCCTCCTTTTTCTCCTTAAGGCTCCTTTTCAGGCTTTAAGGCTTAAGTTAAGCATTCCTATTAATGTTACAGAAAAATGATAGTAAATGCACCTACTAATGTACTAAACATTTACAAAATGTATCAAATGCACTAAAGCATTGAAGAAGAAACTGTGGATGATTTTCACTTGCAAGCAGGTTATTGCCTGAAATAGCACTCACTTTGGCAGCTTGTAACTGTTACAGGTGAAAGGAGCAAACCAGTAGATTTAGCAAGCAAAACAAAATATCTTGCATTGCAGTGTGGAGGGCAGTGATGTTTCAGTATGTGTGCTGCTCTGGTTGAGGTGTAGCCTGGGCAGTCTGCAGGCACTTTTGTGCACCACTTATGTGTGGGTTTGTGCACCACATCGTGTGGGATTCTGTAGGTCTTTTTTTGACTGGGTGAAGATACTACAGGGCCGCATTCTCAAAAATGAAGTCATCATCTTGGTACAAAAACAGAACTGCTTTATCAGACATGCCCCAGCTGTCGTTAGCATTTACCACTCATCTATTCCATATGTAAATGCTTGCTGTTCCATTTACTGGTAACTTGTATTTATAAAAGCAAAAGAAAACAGTCTGAAATACTTGTTTTTATCTAAAAATTTCCCCGAGTTTAAAATGTCCTCAGTACTGATACTTCGTTGTATTTAAGAACTGTATGATCTCTATTGCATGTGAGCAAGTTTCTATTTTCAAAAAGGAAAGATGTTGCACTATTTATAATGGTGCTAGTGAGATTTGTTTTTTCCTTCTCTCACCTCTGTGTGAGGCTCTCTGTTTTTTTATATCAGGCACTTTCCATTTTCTGCAAGTTTGGATAGCTTACTTCTGGTTTAGTCCTGTGCTGAATATTTGCTCAGGTGCATCTGTGCATGAAAAGGTGAGGTTGCACAGGCCTCCTTGCACTAGAAAAAAGCAAACTGGTAATAGGAATGGGAGGGTGGTTGGACCAGATGATCTTGCAGGTAGTTTCCAACCTTGTGATTCTGTGATTCTGAGTTTTCACCTGGACAAAGTAACTTTGTTGCACAACTGCAGAGTAAAGATAGGCATGTAAAGTAAGTGCAACCTCTGTCCTTGCAAAAAACAAAACAAGACAAAAAACCTCTGACCTAATGCAAGTAAGTTCATAAACAGCTTCTTCAGTAGTGTGAACTTTTTTCTTTTCCTAATTTTGTGATTTGAAAACCACTGTAGTTTAAAACAACTTAAAACTTTCAGTCTTTAGAAAAATATGAAGAAATTAGGTCTTGTTTTTACCAGTAATAGCAGTACTGCTTTAGGGGTTCTGATTCATAAACATTCCCAGTTTACACTGGGAGAGCTGTTAAGTTTCCCAGCTGCCTTTTTTGTGATACGTACCCCCCAATGACAACTTCAGTGTTTTTAAGGGGTGACTTTTCACTGATCTAAAAATAAGTAGAAAGTTTACTGAGGTGCAGACCTTATCTGGCATGATCTGTTGGGGTGTTTTTTGTTGCTGCGTAGGAGAGTGCCAGCAAGATTGTTCTCAACTTCCTGTTTCAGATGGGAAGCAGCTGATTTCTCTTGGTAGGCTGAATGGATGGAGAGAAACTGTGTGTCAAAATAATGAGCAAAGCCACATTTGTATCAAAATGCTAAGATTAGAATGCTGTTTTTCTGCCTTGTAGCTGTAGCTACGAGAATGGAAATAATGACTAAACATCCTTACAGACAGAGGCTGCTGTTCACAAACAACAGTATTCAGTTTCCCAAGTTACGAGGCAAAGGTTAATGTCCAGACAGATAAATAGCCATATCTGCTTGTAATTTTAATATGTCATAATGGTTTTATACATAAATTTCTGCAGAATCTATCTTGCAGAGGACTCTTGAGTTGTGTTCCCTAGTAATTCCTAAGATAGGAATAAAAAGGGTATATCTAGGTTTGTATTTTTAATGTAAAGTACTAGGTTATTGTCTGTTGTCACTCTATGTGTGACATTCTTTATTCAGCTTGGAGATCTTGAGTCTGATTAGTAGCATATAATAGATACCGGTCCATCTTTAATAAATGCAAATGTATCGAAAGCTTAGGTTGTTAGACATGGGAAGAGTAAATTGATACTTAAGCATTTTTAATTCTAAAATTCATAGCCCAAGTTTCTGTTACGCATTGTGTAGCATATAAAGTTATTTACTAGTGTAGTAAGCACCTTGTGTAAAAACAGAAAATTGCTGCAGTGATCAGTTTGGTTAAACTGCTGAAAGATTCATTTCTGTGAGCTTCAATTCTGCTTCGGTCTCATAATTTTTTGATTGCATTTTATAGGATCTTTTCATGCTTTTGGCAGTGTTGACTGTGTGCAGATGGAGAATTAAGTGACATGCTAAAATAATAGCTCCCCCGTGCAGGTTCTGGGTGGGTAATAAATGTTATGTAGCGTACTTCTCAGTGGATAGGAGTGTACTCACTCACTGCAGAATGAGGCTCTGCACAAATGCAGTGAGGTGACAAACTAGTGCATGCTGGCTGCTCCAGTCTCTAGCAGCTGTCTCGTGAAGGTGGTAATAGGCAAGTTGAAATTCTATTGCATTTCTGGCTGCTTAAAAGATGTCACTAACCTTTATCTTTGCTCAGATCCATAATTAAATACTGTATCTTCATTATTTTTTTTTCAGTCAATTGCTAAATATTACCTGGGTCTGACATTTTTTCCTCTGTTTTCTCTGTGTTTGGAGGCTGTGTTGTTTCTCTTTTAAATTTTTTTAAAAATATATTTAAGGGTTTTGTTTTGTTTTGAAATTACCCCCGTGGTATTTATTTCATCATTTTAAATTTCATCCTGTTTGTTTTGGACTGTACGAAAGCAGAACCTGTGATAAAGCCTGTTCTGCGTATGTGCTTTGGGAGGATCGTGAGATAGGCCTTCAGCACTTCACGTATCCCTTTCTTCTGAGTGACTAGCGTTTTATACTATTAATTACTGTATTTTGTTTAGTTGGGCTCAGGCAGAAGAAACTGTGATAAATGCAGCACAGAATGTCTCTATACGGATGTGAAATGGGATTGCTGTATGTGTTGCGAAGTTTTACCAGCATTGCTGAATAAATTCAGATGCCTTTTTGTACTCATCCAGTTCACATTTCATAATGTTTCAACATATTGGGACATATTACCTAAGTTGTAACATGCTTGTGTGAGCTCTGTTGTGGTGACAAAAACCCATTATTATTATTTATTATTAAGCTGTTAGTATTAATAAAATTCCCAAATCTGCTTCTGCTTGTTCATACAATACAAACATACTTGTACTGGTTCGTGTGAAATGCCTGTAAGCCATTAAATTTCCATATATTTAGATGCATATGTAGTTTGTCTTCCCAGACCAACTAATGCACCGTGGAACTTGAGTTTACACCTGCTGATACAATTGCTAGTCTTAGTTAGATGCATATTCCATATTTTTTGTCTGTTAGATGTAGAAAGTTGTTCAGAAGTGGAAGAATCGTTAGAAGATTTCCTATTCTTGTATTTTCCCTTGAGAGGTTGTCTTTTGAATGCTTCTACTGTTTTTTCATGCATCTGACCCATATTTTCCCATCATATATTTATTGCTCACAGGCGCACCTACGTTGGCAGCATGCCTGGCAGAATAATCAATGGACTGAAGACTGTTGGGGTTAATAATCCGGTGTTCCTTTTAGATGAGGTTGATAAGCTGGGGAAGAGCTTGCAGGGAGATCCTGCAGCAGCCTTACTAGAGGTAAGAGCTATCAAACTACTAACATTTTTTAATTTGTAACTAAAAAGAGTTAAAGTACTGTATATTATATACTGAAGATCATTCACATCTTACTGTCCTGTCACTGCTGAAGAGGAAAGGGAGGCACGAGAGAGGTAGTAGTGTAGCAATGGTCTGCTAAAGTGAAAAACTTAAGGCTTTCCAGAGGAGACATAGCACTAGTGCACTTAATGATTTTGGTATTGTGTACATTTAGAATTTCATTGTTCTGATTTATTGTCTAAAACTTTTGTGTGTTCTCTCTAACTATAGAGGCTACCATCCCACCACTGAAAAACTTGAGCTGCTTCTGTAGTTCTTTACCTGTTCCGGTCAAAATCAGTTGGATTAGTGAAATACATACCTAAATTTTTAGGGCTCATTTTGGCTGAAATGATTTTGGGAGTAGTCCTGGAAGGATCTCAGTTTTCAGTAGCTGGGAGGTTGTGGGAGGGGATGAAAGTAAGTAGTTCTAGTGATATTTGTGCACAGTGACATTTTAATGACTTTTTTACAGATAGTGCTTAATGTAGTGCTCTGAGGGTGAAAAACACTACTTGCAGTTATGTTTAGGTGTCATGTGCTCATCTGTGTGCTATATGGCTTTCTACGAATAAAACGTCATTCTATGGATGTCATTGTTCACTTCCTGCTAGATAGTATAAAATTACTATTTTGGCAAAGCCAATTTAAATTCAGTGTCTGAACGGGTTAGGTGTGAGAGCTCTGCTTTTATCTTGGCATGTTAACGTGATCTAGCACTGCTAGAAAATAATGTGGCTTTCCTTATTCAGCTTTAAAAATGACAGTTATGGTACTTTACCTGTCCGTTTCTCAGGTGTGTGGCATGCATTCCTAGAATGCAAAGAAAATAACCAAAGGAGTCTAACAAATATTTAAATTTTCTTTGTATTTTTCTCTTATGAGATTTTATTTAATCTTTGATGTTAATGATAATGAAATCTATTTCTTTATTTACTGTTTTTTTTTGTTTGTTTGTTTGTTTTTTGTTTTTGTCATTTCTTCTATGGTCATTAAACTAAACTGACCTTACTCTGGTCAACACACGGATAAAATTATACCTGAAAGTCAAATTCCTTTAGCTTGCTGAATGCGGTTTCCTAGGCAGTCAGTCACTAATAAAGCAATGATTTGTATTTCCTGGAAAAGAGAATAATTTTTTTTTGAAAGTGTTCTGCTTACAAATCTTGAACATTAACATTAATCTGTTAACATTGTTATTTCTATTCAAACTTTGTGTTGCTTTTCAAATTATATTTCTTTCTCTGTCCTGCAGCAGATAAATGATCATTTCTGTTCTTTTCTTGTCCTGTCAAACATGTGAAAGCAAATTAAATGAATTTGTTTTTGAATTATTTGTATTTGAATATTTTATTTTATTTTATTTTATTTTTTTCTTCAACTGCTGTGGGAATACAATGTTTTCAACCTTTAAAGCCTTAATCTTAGTGCAGGTACACAACCCACCTGCTGTGAATTATTCTAGCTGAGGCCCATCAGGTTAGCTTTCATCCGTCTGCTTGGGCTGCAGTCTTTATGTAGGTTATTGCTAATGGACCAAAGGTTGCATGTGGAGAAGTAATTGCTCTATTAACCATGTCTGGGTTGCTCCCATGTGAGTTCTGTATACTGTTCTCTACTGTTGTCTGAACATGCTGAGACAGGTGCTTACCTCCAAAAATGGAGAACATGCTTGAACATAACAGCTTAATTTTCATCTGCTTTTGGTCTTATATGTTGTTGGAAAGTGTGTCTGCAGTGCACAAAGATAACTGTTATGTAGGAAAGCTAACAATAGTAAGTGATCACCTAGATGACACTCTTGTTTTTCAGATTTCTGTTTCTTGCTTGATAAGTGCTGTCATTATGTATAAGTGGTAGTCCTTTTTTCTTTATTGTGCAGGTGTGTTTGACACTGTCTGCAGCACAGTGTAGAGTGGAGGGAGACTGTCATACTTTGTGAGCTTGGAAGCAAAGCTCAGTGTTCCATAATTGCTGAATATGTGTTAAGGTGCTGCTGCAGAGTTGGTGCTTGAGCAAAGCAAAATGTCGTCTTATCCCTGATTGCTGTTCATCAACAAGGGAATGCTTTGGTCTAAATTTAGGTGACCTCAGTTTAAAATAGAAGAAAATAGAAATGGATTCAAGTACTTGATAGTGAGTATTTGTATGCAGGAAATCAGACCAGGAACATAGCCAGGCAATTAAATGTTCATGGAACTTCTGGATTTTGGGGTAATAAAATGCTGATATAGAGAAGTCTTTGTATATATGTGAGCTGTCAACCATAAATTAATCAAGATGTTTTGTCCACTGAATGCTCTTTTTGTACTTAATATTTTTCAATTGGTTGAGTATCTGAAAACTTTTGAACTTGAACTTTGGCACAGATACCTAGCTAAAGAACAGCTCTGTTTGGTTTGGAAAATCTATGCTAAATATATGGGTATGGTCCTGTTTTATGTCTTACTCTAAGAAATGATTACTGTAGCAATTAATTATTAGTGTATAGAAACTAAAGCCCATATATGAAATACCAGATAATTCACATACATTCAGCTTGCTTTACCTTTATCGGCTAGCATTATTTGTGCATGAGTAGAATAGCATCACTATTCTATATATAGTATAATGTTCTAATGAGCAGTCTAACACTTAGGTAGAAGTTGTAAGAATTCCTAGTTACAGACTACCAGGAGAAAGAGAGAAATGTATTTATAACCATTAATGTAACAAAAAAGCACTCAAATGCTTGAGTTAATAGACTGGAATTTTGTGGAAATACTGTGTTGCCTGTGCAAGCTAGATTAGGATTTGCTGTTCAGATCAGTTTTGAAATTTTTTTAAGAGTACACTTTGAATGGAAGATTAATGTTTGATATAGATCAGCTTTAAAGAAAGTTGCAGATATTCTGCTTGGATGCACTGTATGTAATTGTGTCCCCCTGCCTTTTAGGACTAGATCTTAGGACCAGTGGAGGTAAAAGGCAACTTCCTAAGCTCTATTAACACTACCGGTGGAATCATCCATCTGTGCACTTGACTAGTCAGGAAACTTCATGCCTGTGCTTTTGTCAGTAAAGAAGGGAAAAAAGGATAGTAGCTGTCTGCGGGAGAGGGTAAGAAAAGAAGCTTTTCAGTGGCTTGTAGCCAGTGAACAATAATCCTCACAGAGTTACAGCCTTAGTGAGTTAGAATTTAGGTATATGCTTCTGTATGTTTAAATTTTTCAATATCAAGGAGGAAGTATGATTTGTATTTACTGTAGCCACAGTACATTTCCATATATTCATCTAAAATATTTGTAGTATTTCAAAATGAAAGCAGAAATTGTTCTACTTAAAAGAAGTTCTGCTTTGTTTTCAGTATGCTAGGAAAAAAAGATATTCAGAATTACTTTTATCTAACCTAGCTAAGAAGTGTTCAGATTCAGTTTTTTATAATTAACACTGTTCTTGGCTATGATTCAAATTACTAAGACATGTGCATTCATTTTGGTATAGGCAGATACATTATTTTGACAGCAGTGTGCTAATTCTCTAGAGATGCTAAGGTCCTATTATTTGTAAAGTGAGAATTATTCATGTCAGTGTAACACTGATAATTCAGTATGTGGGAAGAAAAAGCATGGTAATGCTTTAAGGGGGGAATAGAAAGAAGTTGGTACATAAATGGTAGTGAAGAACAATTTCTGGTTGCATGAGTGGGAGCGCAGTGAGTGAGAACAGTCAGTGTGGATTTATACCAGGGCAACTGATTCCTGACTGACCAGATTGCTGCTTACAATGGAGAGATTACTGAATTTGTGGACAGAGGGAGAACAGCGAATGTAACTTACCTTGATGTTAGCAGTACTTCCAGCAGTTTTGCCCCCAACGTCCTTCTGTGTAAATTGTAATGGTACAGAGTGTTTGGGTGACAACTGATGGCATGCATAATTAGGCTCAGACTGCAGTGGTTAATGGGTCCTACTCTGTCAGCATGCCTGTAATATATTGAGTGCCAGCGTACCACAGGCTGCACAGGAAGCTGTCCTGTTGCTGTTATTAACAGTAACCTCAAGGAGATGAGGGCATGCACTTGCATCACATTAGCAGATGATGCCAAATTAAGGAGGAGCAGTCAGTAGGCTTGAGGGTAGGGCTGCCATCCAGAGGGACCTAGACAGGCATGAAGCAGTGGCCAGCAGGAACCTGAAAAATTCAGCAAGGACAAGTGCAAAGCCCTGAGCTTGGAGAGGAGCAACTTTATGCAAGGATGCAAGCTGAGGACTAGCTGGCTCTGGGCAACTCTGTTGTAAAGCTGGAGTCCTTGTTAACACCACAGTGAACGTGAGCCAACAGTATACTCCAGCAGTTAAGATGGCAAACAGCTTCAGGAGTTGTGTTAACAGGAGCATAGCCCATAAATCAAGGGATGAGATTATCCTCTTTACTTGGCAGTTGCTAGGCTGCAGCTAGAATAGTGCAACACACTTTGGGTTTCCCAAAGCAAACAAGATATCAAGAGAATATGTGTAAGATTAGTTTGGAAGCCTTTTGTTAATACATTAAATTATATCAGTTGTGAACAATATTAGTATAAGATGGTCCTTTGGAAAAGAAATAAGAAGAAAACACTTTACATTGAGAATACTTACTCAGATATACTTGCACTCAAATTCCTCTTTACCTCTGTATAAATTGGCTAGAAATGTTTGTCTCTGACAACATGAACTGAACACGGTGCATATTAAGTTTCTCTTTTGTGACCTAGCTAAAATAGAAACTGATAATTTCATGTATGGAGGGAAACAGCTGAGAGAATTTTATTTTGTCCATTCAGTGAAGAAAAGCAAAGACTTCTTTTTTTTTAATAATTGTGCTAATCATGTAAGTACACTGATAATGAAAGGAAATGTTACCTTCCAGAAGTATAGAGAGTGAAGATAGGTTGAACCTCGGATGTAGAGTTAAGTTGCTCACAGTGACCTCAGTCTCCTAAAGAAGTCCTGCACGGGGCCTCTTCAGCCTTTGGAGTTAGCTCATCTAAAGTTAGGCTGTCTGCAGTGGCTGGAGATATTGCTGGCATTGTGTATTAGAAAACTTGGAAAGTTGTTAGGAAATTAAAAAAAAAAAAAAAAAAAAAGATGAAAATAATTAAAAAAAAAAACCAAACCTGTTTGGTATGTGATATGAAATCTAGTTCAAAGTAATCTGAGTTTGGCAGGATATAACGAAACTTCAGTAATATTCATAGTGTATTTTGTAAATGTAAAGTGAGGTTGACAGATGCAAGTAGAGTAGTGACAAAATGCTTAAACTTCATTTACTTCGAAGTGAACAACTGCATTGATTTTGTTAACTCTTTTTAAGGTCCTGGATCCCGAGCAAAACCACAGTTTCACTGATCACTACTTAAATGTAGCCTTTGATCTGTCCCAAGTCCTTTTCATAGCTACAGCCAATACTACAGCAACTATCCCACCTGCTCTGCTCGACAGGATGGAAGTCATTCAGGTTCCAGGTAATGCTGAAGTGTTGTCATTAAAGTGGCTATTGCAAGTCCTTAAACAATGTTTTACCTGGAATAAAAAGCATTTCCTCAGGCTTCCTAGGAAACTGGACTGATAGCTAAAATCATCAAAAGAGACTATTTGCAGTGCTTCCTTTACAGTCTCTGTCACTTAAGAAGTAATAGTATGAGAAGACAACTTACTGAACTAAACTGTTTTGTGGAATTATGATTTCTAATTGGTGTGAAGTAATGTAGTAAACTAAGGACAGCATCTTTAGAGGAATACAGGAGGTACAAGTTTGTGGCCTTACCTTTACAACCTGAACTGGGAGCCTGCCTTCTATACACAGTAGCTAGTTTTGTTTCTGTAGCGCTCACCAAGCCGTGGGAAAACTGTGTTCCACTTTTTGTGCTGAAGACTATTTGTCCTGGTATATAAAATAATGATTTGATAATATACTGCACCTATCCCTTCCCTTTTCTTTTAGACTGCCTAATGACTAAGATATAACTATCCAGGGTGGCTGCCACCACACGAGGCATCAAAACAACTTTTAGGATCACTGAAATAGTGACCAATGCTGTCTTTTCTTCATGTGCATGCATACATATGATGCCCAGTTTTCTAGACATGTGCAAAATATGTTTAATGATTACCCTATCAAATTAAGCTCTGTTTAGAGTTGTAGAAAACTTGTGCATCCTGATGCCATGTACCTGAACTGAGAATTTCTTTAACAGGAGGAGTTATTTCTTGGTATGTGTGCCCAGCAGCTTAGTAAGCTAGAACTACTGTGAAAGTAAATGAGAATGTTTTTCTGATTCTTCTGAAGTCTTTCTTTAGGGCCCCATGTCATTTTTGTTTTTAAGGTAATTTTAAGGTAACCTTTTAAATTCAGTCAGGTATGAAGTTGTAATAAGTTTGACATTACAGTGTATAAGCAAACAGATTAGTAAAAATATTCTTTTTTCTAGGATATACACAAGAAGAAAAAATTGAAATTGCTCATAGACACTTGATTCCTAAACAGCTTGAACAACATGGCCTTACTCCGCAGCAGATACAGATTCCACAAGTAACCACTTTAGACATAATTACAAGGTAAACCTGTTACTCATCACTTGAAGTTTTCAGTAACTTGTTTTTCTGGTAACTAGCAAATTTTGAAGTGATAATACAAAGCATTTTGTAGGATCTGTTGTCCTTAACAGGCTTGGAATTCCAAAAAATACTAATTTTTGGAATTGCTTTTTCTGTGCTCGTTTGGGTTCTGCTTTCTAAACTGAACCTTTCTTCCTCTCCCTTCCCTTGTTTTTGGTTCTCAATCAGTGGCTCCCAATCAGCTGTGTTGGCACCATTGATAAGGCTGTATAAATAAATAGAAACACTTGATGCTAATATTGCTGCAGTGTTCAGTATGTGCATCCATGGTTTTGGCAACAGGCAACTTTTTTTTCTTAAAGAATGAAGTTTTATTTCTGTCATCTTCATAAAAAAAAAAAAAAGGAATTATCATTTTGTTTCTTGTGAATGATGGACCACATTTGTCTAAAATTGGAATTAGTTAAAATTAAAAATGCATTTTTGAAATAGCTTGTATTAATTAGAACTACTGTGTTCGTTGAACACATTAATCAGAACATTTTTTTGAACTTGGAAGTGACTTGGTCACAATGAGATAAGTGTATTGGTAATGAATGAAGTATTTTATGACCAAGAACAGAATTCTGGGCATTTAGTAAGTGCTTCTGCCTGGCATTTCTTTTTAATTCATAGGTTAAAAGAAAATATTCTTTTTCAGTCAGTTCATGTAATTTCAGTGATCAATGTTTTGAATTTAAAAATGGGTCGGTTTCTCTGAAAGTAATGCCTCCTATTTATTTCCATGGAAACTACAACTGATACAAAGAGCACAATAGCACTGTTTGATAGGGCAAATTCTCATCTACAGAACACTATTTTTCAACATAATCACACTGTGCTTTTTTGACAGCAATTGGACAAGGGCCTGCATGCCATGCTCATAACAGTCTGTATCAGTGGACATGACACGCTGTCGCCACTGTTGAAACCTACCATTCACCACCGTGCTGTGCTCACATCCACTGTTTGGTCTCCATAAACGCTCAGCAAGTAGCTGTGAACATCAGTGGCTGCTATTTCTTCTGCATGGAGGAATTCAATGACACACCTTTGTTTCATCCACACCTCCATGTCAGATGCAGTTTTGTCAGGCTGCCATCTGTTGCACAGCAACCAAATATAATGGAATTGGTGGGAAGGTTCAACCTCTGCTGCTGTACCACCACCATCCACCTCTGACATCATGGGGCAACATAATAAAATAGAAGGCATTATTTTTGGAGCAGCCATTTTAATATCCCGTTGCAGTATTTTATGATTTGAGAAGAGCTCATTGTTTTTGGAGCATTGTATTGCATTTCATTAAGGCTTGACTCCAAGTGTTGCTTATGTTTCCTTCCAACTGAGTAGTTTGTCTTTCTCAATTTTATCAGCAAATTATTTGTGTTATTAATGTTATTTGTGTATGATAGCCCAAGATCTTACTGCCTTCTACATTTCATTTGGATGTGTTTTTAAAAAGAAAATGTGTTTAAATACAAACGAAATGTCGCTTACAACTGTGTCTACACCAGGTACACTAGAGAGGCAGGAGTCCGCTCTCTGGATCGAAAGCTGGGGGCTATTTGCAGAGCAGTGGCAGTGAAAGTGGCAGAAGGGCAGCACAAAGAAACGAAGCCTGATCGTTCTGAACTGGGTGAAGGAGAAGGTGTGTATCTTTTCTGTGTTTTACTAAAGAGGGCTCCTCCAACATTGCAGGCTCTAGTTCGCTGATTTATCAACATTTTAGCCTTTTCTATGCTTCTTCAAAGGCTTTATTTTCAAAAGCTTTGCAAATAGACTAACATTCTTAGTGTGCACATTCAAGTAGTACTGAATTATGGCTTGGGACAAAAATGGAATAATTTCAGCCTGCCAGAGAGTGGTAACTGAGAAGGATAGTGGATCTGTTTGTTATCTTAGGTAGGCAGTTCTGATTTGTGTATTTTGTTATGCTTTTTAATGCAAATCTTATACTTTAATTTTTCTTCAATAAAAGGCTTAGCAGTGTAAAGTAAGTGACTCTAAAGTAAGTGACTGCTTGGAGATCTTTTGGAATTAGAAAGGTTTGGAGGCGTTTTTAATGTGTCTTTGCAGTGTATCCATCACTTGAGGTCAATTCATTTAACTTACTAGTTAGAACAGAATCCTAAGAAATGATGCTTCAGGGATCTTCAGTGATTAGAGTTTTAGTGCTTTCTGTTTATTTGTTTATTCACTGTCTTGAAGAATAGGAAGCTTTGACTTTTCACTTAGCTTTAGAACAGTAGAATTGTTAATTTTGCATTTTAAAAGTAGTACAATTTGTATTTGATCCAAATGTGTAGTAACTCTTAGTCTCCCGGATTTTGTGATCTTCAGTAAATCTGTTGTTGTTCTCCAAATATACAGAAGACAGTGATGTATTATTCCCAGTGATCCAAAAATCTGTAAGCTTTGTTAGCAATTGAATTGCAGTTCAAGGAAGACGTTTGAATTGCAGTTCAAGGTAGATGAGAAGTGTGAAAGGACTGAATCTGTAACTGAACTTATAAAACGTGGCTATTTTTAAGAATTAGAATAGGCTGGGATGGAGAAGACCTTGAGGATCATCAAGGCCAACCATTAACCTGACCTGCTGAGTGCTGTTGGTAAACAATCTCCCTTAGTGCCACAGTAGTCACAATAAAACCTAGCAAGCAAGGTGTTGGGTGATTTGTTCATTTTCTAAATATTGCTGTGAATCTGGTTGACTCTTTTGGACTGGAAGTAACTGCAAGTCTTTGTGCCAGAAGATACTAGAAAGCAAAAACTGCTGAATGGCTGCTTACTTTTGCTTGAGACATGAAATACTAACAAGACCTATTGGCTTGATGTTGCAAAAGATTCTACAAGTAAGCCAATGTCAAAAAGCTTATGGTTTTTCCCGCAGCAAGAATAGTTCTCTGCTTGTTTACAGGAGAACAATTAAGGGGACTTGTAAGCTGCCTTATTTTATTGGAGAAGATAATAAGTCTGAATGGTTACCCCTTACGCTTCAGAGTAAAATCAAGGGCAGGAAATAGAACTGTACAACAGTATCGTTAATTACAAGAGCATTTGAAGAAGAGTCTGACTCTAGAACTAATCTATTTATTTACAGTCTTTCAGCTTTTTCTTGCCTTTTTCTCCTAACTTGGTATTTCATTTCTGAAAATCACGTCTTCTTTTATGTTGTTGAGTTTTCTGTGATGATCAGAATGTCTATGAAAAGTACCTGTAATAACACAAGTTTGCATTTGGTCCACAAATCAATGGTTGCTTAAGTAGATACAACTCAGTTTTCTCTGAAGGCTTCAGGAAGGTAATCTTTCACATTAACAGTGGCTATGCATGAGTGAATGACTGTGCAGTTTAAATTGTCCCATCTGTGTGCATATTTATCAATGCTTTCTGTTTCTATCTATATGCACTTCTTTTTGCTGAATTTTTCTGAAATCAGATTCTGAGTTTGTTGACACTTCCATGATGATTGTAGTGCCTCCTGAACCAGGCTGCTGAGGCTTTAGGCTGTGGTAGCAATGCTCATTGGCAGCAGGCAAAATCAGTTAACCGCTGCCACTGCTGTGATTTTGACCTGAGTTACATTTCTGAAGTATTTATTTGCACTGAAAGATAGCAAAATATGTTTAAAAGATCTAATATGATTGCTGAATAGAAGACCTATTATCATCCTGCTCTTCAAGTCTTTCAGTAAAATAGAGCAAAGTAGCTTCAGAGCACAACTGATCATGTAAGAGGAAGCGTTTTACTATTAAAGCACAGAATGAAAAGGAGCTGCAGTAGATATTTTGATCCAGTGAGAGAGGCATTTGCAGTGTTAAAATTAGCACTGTGCTTGCAACTTAGGAGAGGTATTTACACTGTTAAATTTAGTATGGGACTTGGAACTTAACAAAGTTAAGCAAAACCAGCAATCTCAGTGCTCCAAAAGAGGGCAAAATGTGAACACTTCTGGTTGACACATGATTTGGAACAATTTCAAAAGAAATGGTCTGTAGTTATCTTTGTGCTTCTGGAATTGAAATTGTCCATAAGAAAAAGCTGCATCAATAAAACAAAGTCCGAAGGAGAAGTGGACCTATAGTTAAACTGGAGTATTATGAAGACACGTAGAGAATGGTGTGGTCAACGAAATGCTTCTTATTTTCTGCTAATGATGTGCTCATACCCAATTGTAATTTTAGCAAAATATGTCACTTACTGAGAGTGTACGAGAATGGGACACTCATTTAAAAACAAAACAACAAGAGCAACAACAGAACTCTTGTTTGACTTTCATTCAGTCTGGAAACAGCCAAGTATTTAAAACAAAACTTGGGAATAATCCCCAAACTCTCTATACTTGCAAGTTGATGCAAACAATGGGATTTATAACCTAAATTTCTTAATTTCTTTCTTTGATTGTATTGGATCTTTTTTTTTTCCTGTTCTAGAGTGGACATTTTTGCTGTTGTGCACAGAGACGGTGAATTTTGATTTCATGTAGTTAAAGACTGGAAGAACCATTGGTCAGGTTGTTGTGTAAACATCATTGCGAAAATTAATAGTTTAATTTTAAACTATTTCCTCATTCATTCATTTATTTTTATTTATCTGTAGCAAACATCGTAATTCATTTTTGTTTTAAACATTTGTTAGTGGCTGATGTGGGACTGAGACTGCAGTTTATGCATTTGCATGTCATGGGTTTGAATATCAGCGAGTACCCTACAAGCTCACCTTTGCTAAAGCATATTTTGTGTGTGATTTGTAGGATATCAGAACAGTGATGTGCGTATGGAGTTTATTCAGTTGAGAGCCTTGTGGCTTGTGGTATTATAATAAAAGGTGAAAGTAACGAGATGCTAGAATCACAGAATTTCCATCATATTATATTGATTAAATCAGATCGTTAACTTAAGTGGAGCAAGTGTTTCCAAGTCTTTGTAGACACTGTTTAGTAATAGGTTCTAGGAGTGCAGGGTGCCTGCTGTGGCAGACTTAATGCAAGGAGGGACACTGTCCCTTTCACAAGCAGTGTGTCTGAGATACACTGGCAGCTTTGTATTGCCTTTCTCACTCCTTTGACTCCTGGTCTTCATGACGAAGTTGGCAAGTGGAAGGCTGTTAGTTTGCGTCAGTCATTGGATTTGTATGGTGAGCTTCAGCAAAAGCAAATGGAGTCATCTTTCTGACCTCTGCAGAGAGGTCTTGTGTACAGTAACATCATCCTTGTATGCAGTGACACACACTACCTGCTATTTTACTGAAACTCTATCTCAGGTTTATGAGATGCTGCTTTAGACTTTGACGCTAGAAGAAATTCTAAGAGTGACAAAAACATGTGAGACTTTCCTGTTTTAGAGCAGCGGCCTCGAGAGTACAATGCAGCAGCTGAGTCCTAAGGCGTCTTATTGTGGTACAGTGGTTGAAATGCAGGATGAAAATGTGTCTTTTAACTTCTACTGTGATACATGGTTGTTCCTCTGTGATCAGTGGGAACGTGTGTATGTCATCAGTAGTGAAAATCTTAATGCGTATGCATGCATAGAACTAAGTGGAAAAAAAACAAGCAGAAATAGGAAATGGTGTTGGTTAGATAGTAAAGCCTTCTAAGTTCACTTTTGTTTTATAACATGAATTGCAGTATCAAATGGCTTGGGTTTTGGAGTAGTACAGTTGAAATCTGAGTTGCAGGAATAGCAACTCAGTTGCAGGGTTATGTTTCCTAGACTTGCTAGTATTTATGTATTTAAATTTATTGTGTACAGAAATAGTAGCTCAACAAAAATACAGAGACAAGCTGGAACAACAGGAGGGCCTTCTGACTAAGGCAGTGTTTACAGTAAAGGAATAGGACTTATGCATTGAGAAATGAATTGTTGTACAGTGGAAGATACAGTTGTACTGTTGAATAATAACTACTAGATTTTAATGCTGCGTGAAAGCTGTTAATATTTTAGTAGTGATATTGATGTAGAATGTTTTCCTTGGTATTGTATGGATGCACTAGTGAGAATTGCACTGTAGCAAAATTAGCAGTAAGAAAGCTTTTCTTATACGTCAGGGTTAATGAAAGTGTGGTTTGTATCTCATGAAGTGAGACATTTTCTCTTATACTGAATGTGGCACAGAGCACCTCTTAATGTTATGTTAAATAGATCAGATCATCGATTGGTTTCCACAGCTGTTTGAAGTTCTGTAACTTCAGTTATTGTATGTGCATTAATATGCAAAGGAAGACAGTTTCTTCATTGAATGGGAAAAAAATTCTAAGAAAGGAAACAACTGTAGACAATTTTCCAAAATGTGCTGCAGAAGGCTTTGGAGCTCAGTGCCTGGTAATGAAGGCTGTTGCTTAAAATGTGCCTTGATTTTGTATGTTTGGGATGGGATGAAGCATCTTCAGTACATGTATTTGCACAATGCTTGAATGACAGCCTCAGGGAAGGGAGGCATTGCTGTAGAACTCTGCTACAAAACCTTAGAAACATCTGGACTGTTGAACTATTTTTCATTTCTCTGATAAATGTTTCACTAAAATATTGCTTGAGGCTCTCAAGAAAATAGCAGTGAGTCCCTTGCATTTGGCTCACATTCGATGGAAAGTCACTCCCTGCTTGCATTCTCCTTCTGTGTGCAGTAATTTAAGTATATGTCAGTGTAGGCCTAATACAAATGAAGTTTAAAACAATTTTGATGCTTTGATGCTTATGTGGTCTTCATTACAGTCCATTTTTGTGCAGAAAACAAACGCTATAGAAAGCCAAAATTTTACCAGTAAGGAAACAATTGTATAATCAAGAACACAATCATACTTAAAATGGAGGCAGAAAAGAATATGCTTTTGAATCTGTAACTGTTGCTGCAATTGTCTGGTCCTTTCTTGTTGACCCTTGAGTATGTTGTATTCAAAAGGGTCAGGCCAGTTGGGTTTTATAGCCCTGCCAGGAGCGTGCATCGCACCTACAGATATATCTGAAAACAATGAATAATCTGATATTTGGAGTTTGTTTTGCTGCTAGTGTCTTTTATTCAAAACACATTAGAAATACCTCCTTCAACAAAATAGCAGAGCCATGTTAAAGGATAATATTTCAAGATAAATGGAAGCCACAGATGAAGGTAATTATAGTGAAATTGTTTGCAGATTTTCACTGAACTGGGGCAGTACGTGCTGCGTGGTCAACTGGGTGTTGAAAACTGATTTTGCGAATTAAGATTTTACATAATGAAGCCATAGTAGTCACAGAGACAAAAATTGAAGTGGAAAGCATCATGTGAGAATATTGCTACCTATTGCTGCTATTTGACCTACTTAAAAACATACTTGAGCACGTGAGTCGTACATCTGTCAATGGTCTAGATTAAATATTATCCTCATAGAACTGTTAGGACAGGTTTAGCATAAGTAATTAAAATTTGATACTGTATTACCTTTAACTTGTCAAGAATTTTGTGAAAGATAACTTTAAGCTTTTTTTCATGAGCTTTTTAGGTAATACCTCTTGAGTGTTTTCCTGTCGTAATTTCTTTAATTCCTCTGTCAAAGACTGTTACAAATCCTAAATTAGATTTTCTTCTCTTAGACTGCAAAGAACATGTCACAGAAGACGCAAAATCAGAATCCATCAGTGACACGGCTGACCTGGCTCTGCCACCTGAAATGCCAATTTTAATTGATTTCCATGCTTTAAAAGACATCCTGGGGCCACCCATGTACGAAATGGAGGTAACATCTTCATTCGTTTCTGTTCAACTCTTGTTCTGTCTGTTTTCACTGGTTGTCTATCTTATTGCTGTTGGCTGAATTTATACATTGACTTACTAATATGTGCATCAGAAATAGGACTGTGTTTCTTTGTGTTCCACCAAGCATTTTTTCACCTCAAGAATATATGTATATTCAACTGAGCACATAAATAACAAAATGCCAGGACTTCCTGTTAACAAAGATGCCTCACTGCGGCACTGCTTAAGAATGTGGTGGCATTTTTTCAGTTCATAACAACTTTGCTTTTGTTTGAGGAACGTTTTGTGGTCTTGGGAAATAAGCCAAAATGTAACTCAGGATTCCTGTCTCTGTAACAGCTATGTTAAGGACTGTCCAACATACCTCCGTAATGCCTATCAGTGTTCTTGGTTATTAAAAGCACTTCACTTTAGGCTGGATATTTTCAAACATTCTTCTTGTTAATGAAACTCTTACCTATTACAAATAATTTTAGGATCAGTCAGTCACCTCCAGCTTGCTAGAGTCTGCATTGTTCCTCAGCTGGTGTATTACAGAATTCCTCCCCAGCCATAGTTTGCTGTATTTTATGGAAAAGGCCATTCACGAAATTATTTAGTTACTTAAGCATTCTCCTTTCACTATTTACATTTCAATTATTCTCTGCTTTACTTTAGGCCCACGTGAACTTACAGGTGTGAGTAGTATATATAATACTGATGGCAGGCAGTTGTCTGATGGAAAACCATTTTTTTTCCTTTTGTTCTCCTGGAGAAAAGATTGGTAAACCAGTAATTTATGGGGAAAATAGCAGTGAAAGAAAAACTTTAACAAACGTCCAACTTCTGAGGACTTGGGTGGTGATTCATCCCTCTCTCCTAAATGAGAGGACCAGATTCCAGCGGGATGCGGAGGACAAAGAGGGGGCAAGGTGGTAGCAGTAGTAGCAGAAGATGACTGATTGCTGAGGAATGCGCCAGTTTTTTAGTTCTGAAGTTTTCAGACATAAAGATTTTCTGTTCTTGTTGAAAAGATTCTTAATGAAGAGGCAGAGTTGAGGAAACAAGTTAGAAAGTTGCTACTGAGAGTGTTAGAGGATGATGATGGTAGAAGTGGAAGTTGGGAGGAATTGGGGGCTAGGAAGATCAGGTCCTCAAGAAACCATTGCTTTATGACTCCCTTGTTTGAGATTTTTCATGTTGGCTGTTTGTGTTCTGATTTTATTTTTTTTAAGAGATTGCTTTTGAGGCAGATGACCTCATAAGCAAATTTGTTTAATTCTTTTCAACTCACAGAAGCTGCTGTGCCCAATAAAATCACATAGGGCAGTGTGATTTTAGCTGAGATGATAGTGTGGATATACCTCAGCTTCATTTGGAATGGCTGTAACCATCAAATTCTTTGTAAGACTCCTATGGACATTTTTAATGCACTGCATTACCACCTGTCTTCTAGAAACTGTTACTGAAAAAAGCATGGGTTTTATTTTGTTCTGTTTTTTTGTTTGTTGTACAGAGAAGTAACTTTCTATCTGAATTTTCACTTTTGAAGGATGTTACATACTTCAGACACCTGGTCTTTAGAGCTAAAATAGTGCAGGATTACTTGCTTTTTTTAATGCTCAAAATACAGATGCACATAAAGCTGCTAGAATAAGTTGCTCTTAATATTCAAGTCCACATTATGCACTCCACTGATTCCAAAGTGCTTATTAGTTTTGTAAAGGTGCTAAAAACTAAATGTTGTTCATCTGTGCAAAAGTTCTGGTCACTCGCAATTCTATTCCCAGTCAAAAGTAGAATTAATTCAAATAAATACGAACTTAACACACTTCTTAAAAAATGAGTTGGTAGGCCCAGAAGTATGTGTGACTTTCTTTCAATGTGCTGACTGGTTTTGAACTTGCCCTGAGCCAATTACTTGTTTCTATGTGATAGTGAGCTGAGTTGGCAAACTTCTGCGTTTTGTTCTCTTTCTGCAGGAATAAGACGTGCAAGTAGCATTTCTAAAGCGTGCTTCTTACCTCTGAATACGCAAATGTGGGAGTGCTGGAGTTTCTTTTTGCATGCACAGTTGCCATGAACATGCTTATAAGCATTTCATGCCAGCCTGTTTAAGCTGAAGTAAGACCCGACTGAAGGTTTTGACTTTGATATCAGAAATTCTTTAAATGATTCCATATTTAGTAGGCAAATTAAGTAGTGCTTAAGTAGAATTGGGCGAATCCACACAGCATCAATTCCCTGAGCAGTTCAGGATTAATTTTCATGTACTGTTTACTGTATGCAATAATGAGGATGTCTTTTTCCATACACATGCCTTTGCTCAGTGTAAACTGTTTGGATAGCCACATAATTCCAGTGTTAATGGATTTTCCCAACTAATCCATAATTCCTTCGAATTTCACGTGGCCTTAGGATTCTTTCAGGTCAGTGTAGCTCCCATGTTGGTGGTGCATCTTAGATTGACTGCTGTTGTTTTTTCAGGTGCACTGTCTGCAGCCCACCTTCCTTTCTTCACAGAGCTTTTAAAGCTTCTTGTTTGACCCTGTTTTGCCATTTATGATTAGGTGAAATAAAGTGGAGGCAGTGCTCGTGTCAGTACTTGGATGAGACTGAGCAAACAGAACAGAAAACACGGTGTGACGTAATTGATCTGTGGTCCTTCAGGGGATACTGGAAAATGAATGACTTGTCTTTTACCTTTTCAGAATTTTGTGTATTTTCTGCAGAGGTCTCCCAGCAGAAAGGCATGAGAGATTACTTAGCTCATACTTGCAGAATTGGTTCATTTATCACAAATGAAGAATTGTATGTGTCACCCTACAGAACAAATGTCGAAGTAAATCACATGCTAAGGCTCTGGAAAAATAATTTTGACAACAAATGAAAGTGTAAGAGACTTAATGAAACATCTCAGCACAGCATGTGTTTGGACGAAGGGACTTGTGACATATTCAGCGTTTTTATAGTGCAGTTTCTCTTTTGCCTTGGAATTTAGGTTTTTTGGTTTTGGTTTTTGTTTTTTTTGTTCTGTCATCTTCTGAGCACAACTGTGAGCCTTTTTTTAACAATCATCTTTTTTTGGCTGACAACCAGAGGTACCAGCTATAGGGTGAAGTTGTTCACTCTTGCTGTGCAAAGGAAGCCACTTTCTAATTGTGAAAAAAGAAACTGATCATTAAGAATTTTGTAGCTATTGTGATTATATTTTGTGATTGTAATTTTACAATGGGACATGTTTCAGACGTACTGAAATGTTAATATCTGGCTTCTGTTAGAAGGAATGTTCTCATTCTGATAATCACATGGAAAGCTATATTGTTTGTTTAGGTAAGCTGGTGCTGTTGTTGGTCTTGAAACCAAACAAAATGCACAGCAACTTCAGGCCTGGGTACTACTTTGTGACTTTGTTTCTGCTGGGCCTGCAGGAAGATGTTTTAATAGGAGACTACAATGGTTAATACTGTCCTAGAAGCTCATAAATCCAAGTATTTCTCACACAGACATTTCAGAGCAGAGCCATATGACTTTCTGCCTCCAGATGGTTAAGGTGCATTAAGGTGCATTTCAGAACAGGTACCTTTCACTGAGAGAACTCCCATAGCCAGGCAGCCTTTCCACAGCCATCATTGTCCTAAAGAGGCTTCTGTACAGATTTCTGTGATCTTGCAGTAGAGCTAATGGTTAAGAGAAGTCAGCACTGTGCATAATGAGTTTTGCATTTTTGGTGTCTGTGCAATGTCTGATTGGTTTACCCTCTACTGACTCTTGGAAGGAAGCAAACAATGAAAGTATTTAAATTGTGGGAAGTTGTACAGTGCAGAATGAATTGATGCTAGAGGGGAAAAAAACATTCTGTTGCTCTGGAGTATTATAAAATGGAATGTTAAATGTTCTTAGAAGGAACAAAGGTAGTTTGAGAAGTTCTAATGTGGACTTCAGAGTTGTCGTACTTTTATTATGGTTCTGCTGTGATGCTCCATTCACTTCTTCTCTATCCAATAAATGAAACAATTCTTGAAATTTTCTCAACAGCTTAATGAAGAATTCATCCATTTCAGAAATGAATCAAATTAACTTTCAATTCTGCGTTTTAGTCACAGACTAAAATATTTTAAAATGGGCCTATTGCTTTACTTTACAAAAGCATACTTGTCTTTTGCTATGCTCACAGCCTGACGTTAGAAATGTATCTGGTTTCTTTTCTGGCTTGTAAAGTAGCTCAGAACATGCAGAAGAGCTGTATAGTCTTTCATAGGCGCTTCTTCAACTTATTGTAGCACAGGAGAAGAACTTCAAATATTCTAGAAGTCTTTCACATAATGGAAAAAAAAAAACACCCACAAAACTAGAACACTCATGGAAAACATCCTGCCTCTCTTTCTTCTACTCAACACAAGAGACCAGGATTCAGACCCTCCTTGCTCTCATCAGTATCTGAACAGTTTTAGATAAGTAGATTATAGCCCTGCATGGAGCAGAGAGTTTGCTGACTACTAGTAATAACTAATGGAGGCAGTCAGGTTTCCCATCCTTCACATCTAACCTGAACACTCAAGTATTTCAGATTGCATGAATCACTGTGCTGTCTGACAGTACTTCAGGCAACGATGTCACCTTTGAAATGGCCCAAATGATAGGTAGTGCTTGGGCTCAAAACTGGCTCTTTTCACATAAGTAACAAGAGTCTGGATAAATACAATTTAATCCATCTGCTGGAGGTGTGTAGTGGTCAGTATTGACTAAAGAGTCCTGTGAAGTGAAAAAGAAAGATTCTCGTTGAACCATTGGGGTTCAGTGGGGAAGGTTTTGAGAGCAGTTTGCCATTGCCTGAAGGTAAGGAGCACGTGGATACAATTGCTGTAATTAGCGTTCACGTGTAGGCAGTATTACTGCTGTATTTAAAAAAAAAAAAATTCAGCCCTAACCTTTCTGTTATACTCAGTACAGTCGTTTTGAAGGCAACTATGAGACTGGTTTTGCTATAGTTTTGTTGCAGCTGTTTCTTACACTGTTTCCTGTGATTCTTTCAGGTATCAGAACGCTTAAGTCAACCCGGAGTTGCCATAGGCCTGGCCTGGACTCCGCTGGGAGGCGAGATCATGTTTGTGGAAGCCAGCCGAATGGATGGGGAAGGGCAGCTCACTTTGACTGGTCAGCTGGGAGATGTCATGAAGGAGTCAGCACATCTTGCAATCAGCTGGTTGCGCAGCAATGCAAAGAGATACCAGCTCACTAATGGTAGGTTGGGGAAAATGACAAAGACAGCATGAATGTATTGCATCACAGGTATTGACCTCTCACTGCATCGATGCACATTTAGGAAGCATTAATATTGCATAGAAATTAAATGTCCTATTGCTTGGTGTGTTCCAGTAATTAAATAAAAGGAAGCATTGCTAAATAACAGTGGAAGTTACCCTAGTTGTTACAGAAGTACTTTGTACTGCCTTCACAGAGAAAGAGTTTTCCAGCAATCAGTGCCATACAGAAGTTGAAATCAGCCCTAGAGGTCCCTGTTGGCTCTCTTTCTGATTTCTGCTCAGTTGCAGTTTTAATGGCCTTATGAGCAGGTGCAGCCTAGGCAGAGAGTGAGTTGTCATTGCAGATTCTCCCAGCCAGGTCAATCCTTTCCTGCACCAGTATGGATGGCTGTGGACTCTGTGCCAGTATCCTTCTGTGGGTTGTGATGAGCACTGCCTTTTATTCATTTTTACGTGCAGCCTTTCCCGCAGTAGTTTTGTAATGTGGATACAGGTACTCAGGGCTGTAGTTTTCCTCTAAATCTAGGCTAAGGTTTCTGTCCAAAGCAGTTTTATGTTGTCTGCTTTTATATTTCAAGAATATTGAACTGAAGTGAAATAGGACTTCATCCAAATAACTTGTTTCAACCTCCAAAGAGCGCTGTGTAGTTTGATCATCAGCTGATTAGCCAAATAATAGCTAAATAATTTTCTGACATCTGTCAGCCATCTGTCCTTATTTACAGAAGCTTAAATAGCTTTAAAAAAAACTAAATAGAATGGGTGTGTGAAATGCTGCTGGTGTAAACTTGAGAGGTAAACATAACATACAGTTAGGTCTTGTAGGTAAAGTAAGGTGAAAAGATGTAATGAGAAATCTACGTTATTATATTGATTAATACTGCTTTTTTTAAGAGTGATACTTCTGTGGTATTTTTACTGAAATCTGACTTTATAATTTAGGATCTAAAACTAAAAATTGTATGTAGGAATTCCTCGGTCTTTTACAGTAATCTCTACTCTGAATTTCAAAACACATGCAAACGCTGAGCTGATAAGTTACCTTGTTATGATTTGTATTTTGATGTACGAAAGCTTGTGGGATTTCCTCCTCCCTGTACCAAACCTAAGCAATACAGTGGTTTTACAACATACTTGGAAAAAAGAAATGAAAAATAATAATGCTAAGACTTGTAGTTCTCCAGTGGCCTTTGAGAAGAAAGACTGGGAACAAAATGGGTTTAGATTTTTCACATTCAAACCATTCTTTTTTTTCTTTAAGCTTCTGGAAGTTTTGATCTCCTTGACAACACTGACATCCATCTGCACTTCCCAGCTGGAGCTGTCACAAAAGACGGACCATCTGCTGGTGTTACCATAGTAACCTGCCTTGCTTCCCTCTTCAGTGGGCGGCTGGTGTGCTCAGATGTAGCCATGACAGGAGAAATTACACTAAGAGGCCTTGTTCTTCCAGTAAGTATTGTTAGGAAAAGAGCTGCGTTGCATTAATTCTCCATATCCTAGGTATAAAGTCTGTTTTTAGCCTTTTTAAGAAGCACAGTCTTACTGGATCATCCCTTAGCAGCGGTCTGGTCCCTTCTGGTGCAGCTGTGAGAGGCTGGTGGAAGGCAGCCTAGGTTAGTGCTGTACACTTGTGTGCCTGCTTTGCATTCAGTGTTACAAATGGCCTCGATGCAGTTTTCAGGAAGCACGCATTATTGATATGTCTAGTTAGAAAAGAACCTTAGAAATCCTAAAACTCAGGGTTGTTCCAAGATACATATGTTGCTGTTTCTAAATATGCTTCCTCAATACTATTATTACATGATTATCTTCAGTTGCACTGAAAAGCTGTTTCTTGGAGTTCTTCTCACAGTATTTTCATATGAATTATTATTGAAGTTTTCTCTATACACGTAGATATTTGGACACTTGCTAAATGTTGCTCCTTATATAGAATTCAGCTGAATTATTTTCCTATAAGCCTTCCTCAAAGCATGAGGGCAGAAGAGAAATTTTCAAGGACATACAGTATTAGTTTTACATATCACTTGGAGACTGGTATAATTAATTAAAGGAGGTAAGAGTTTTCATCTCATACCATATGCTGGACAAAGGAAGGATGAGGTTAGAAACAGTATTTTGTTTCATGCAGTAGAGAGCAAAGCATAGATAACATCATTAAAGTACGTTTCAGAGTTCTTAGGAGAGGATCACTGACACAGCATTCTGGCAGCAGTTAGATTGACAAAATTGCTGCTGTTCAGAGCTCTGGTGATAATTAAGCAACTGCATTAACTCCGCTACAGTGCTCGTTTGCTTAGCATTTCAAATAAATTGTTTTTATCACACCAGTGACTATATTTTGCCTGTCGTTTGAGGTACGTGAGGGAATATCTGTACTTAATTTTTTTTCTAAATGCCTTATTGTCTAAGGATTGTTTAGAATCATTAGTAATTTTAATATTACTTCATCTGCTACACCTACTGCCTGAAAGAGAGCAATGTGGTAAGAAATAAGTACCATTGCCCTGCCTAAACTGATTGCCGTGAGTATTTCTGGTTCTCGATTACCTTCTTTTATAGAAGCCTGCTGTGTTACAGTACAAGGCGTTCCTTTCTTCTAAAGCAACACAAAGCTGTGAGTTTCTTCTGTAAGATGGTCTTAAAATAGGATTTGAAAAAAGTGCAAGAGGAAGAAGCTAAAGCTGTGACTGAAAGAGAAGCTAATTTTAAAACTGTGTGTCATCACATAGATACAGGTAGCTTGCTGAAGTGATGCCTACTTTTCTAGAACAAAAACATCCTTGTAATTTTGGGGCATTTTCTTTTGTTCAAATGAATTTTGTGCAGGATTGGAAGACTTTCCTCCCTAAACCTAATGGTTTGAAATTCTTCTGTTGTAAGAAAAAATTGTTACGGGCAACTTTCTTTAGAAAAAGTACATCCATTCCTGGATTTGTTCATCTAGGGGTCTTTTCCTTCTGTTATTATCTGTAACAAAGCATGCTGTAGCATATTATATTTGGAACTAGGTCCCTTTCAACCTAAACCATCCCTTGGTAGGCATATAGCAAGCTAAAAATACTGTTGCATTCTTAATTACTTTACTAAATTACTGGGGGAGGGAGATGCTCATAAAAATTTAACTCCTGGTGTGATTTCCAGATTTGGCACAATTATTACTTTATGAGATCAGTGTCATAGTTTTTTCTTACAAATACATTTCTTTTCCTTATTAGGTTGGAGGAATTAAAGACAAAGTGCTGGCAGCGCACCGAGCTGGACTGAAGAGAATTATCATTCCTCAAAGAAACGAAAAAGATCTTGAAGAAATTGCACTGAATGTACGGCAAGATCTGACTTTTGTTATGGCAAGCTGTCTGGATGAAGTTCTTAATGCAGCTTTTGACGGAGGATTTTCAGTTAAGCCCAGAGTTGAGCGTTTGAATAGTAAACTTTAAGTTGACAGGCTGAGATTACTTCTATATCAAATTTTAATAGAGAATAGTAACTATCAACTAGATATGTATATCTAATATAAATATGAGCTAAGACTGATAGTTTAAAACTGAGTGTAAATGCAATCAAAATAAAAATAGTGCTTTAGCAGTTAACAACCCAGACCCATATTTGCTGGGTATGCTGCCTTTTACTACTGCCAGCAAAGAGTCTTAAAAAAAATACTTTTTTCCTGATAGTGAGATTCAAGCATGAGTAACCTAATGCTATTGAGAAACAATTCCTTACCTTATCTGGTATGTAGTTATATCAGTGTCAACAGCTGATGACATCCGCAAAGACTTCAGGCCCACAGACAGAGAATGGTACACAATTTGTGTGTTCAGAGAACACAAACTGCAGCAAACACAGCACAGAACAGCAAGAGGGGTAATTAATAATGGGGACGTTAATCAAAAGCAAACTGATTTGGTGCACAGGTGTTTTCTTTTTAGTAAGTAACATTGAGGCAATCTGTTAAGGAGGGGTGGCATCAGAAAAATCAAGATTTTGGAATTAGTAAGGAAATGCATAGAAGATTTAAGGATAACAGAAGCAATAGTTCTAGTTTGTAGCAGTGTTGATGTAGGCATCATTTTTTCAAACCTGAATTAATTACAGGAATACACTCATTTTTGCCTAGGAAGGGTAATAATGCATTAATGTTGATGTGTGCAAAGTTGTACTTACAGCCCTGGAAGTAGGTGGCACATACTCTGAAGACTCATAGAAAAGACTGAGCCTGGTAACACGTGGGAGGGGCAAAGTACTCCTTAATTCCTACGTGATACAAAAGTAGGAACACTGCTGATTCTAGGATACTTATGTTTAGTGTTTAGACTCCAAACGCTACATCCATTTAAACAATACCAATAAAACTACTGGATAATTAAATTTTATTAGGTAGTGCACACTAATAATGTAAGATTTGAGAAAGTGTTTATATCCCCTCTGAGTCAGTAGCTTTGTCTCTTCAGTGTTTAACACAGGAATTTAACTTTATGGAATCTGCAGTTCTGAGTTTTTCATTGTTTTGTATGAGGGTAAGCCACAAGAGAAAACCTACTCTCTAGTATTCTGTTCTTGTCTCTTGCTTCTGTTCTTGTTAATTCTGAAATGACTGAAGTATCCTTATGAAAACGCAAATTGTATCAGTGACAGAAGAATCCTTTGTTTGGCTTTAATTTCAATTGGTAAAAAGAAAGCTGATTTACGTGGAATATAACGGTAATTATATTAATAAATTCAATGGGTATTTTTTCACTAGGTTATAAAAACTTTCACAGAAGACTTAATCTAATAAAATGATTTTTAAAAAAAGCAACACTTTTTGCTTTACTATCTTAAGAATTACACACTTCAGTTATTCAGTACCTAAGTTCCACAGTTAAGAGACAACAGGCCCTATTTTTCTGCCTTAAAAATTACTTGAATGTAACAAGTGTGAAATAACTGGACAATCAGTAAAACAGCAGAAAGGAACGATAACTAATATGCTGCTTTGCCTCTAATGAGGACTAGTAAGGGGAAAATAATATTTTCTTTACTCAACTTGATGCAGATCAAATGAGTCCTGTACTACTTAGCACTAGTAAGAGAACAGACATGCATGGAAAGCAAATACTGTTGTTCTTTTTTTTTTTTAATAATAAGCTTCTACAGCAATTTCAGAAGAACAAGGAGTTGCTCTGAAGAAAGATAAGCAATAAGTTTCTGCCACATTGCTCCAACTCATGTCTTGTCCACATGGACTTTATCTGAAAGGTGAGAGCTTTAATGCCATTCTAGAATATCTTTAGTCTGAGTAGCTTTTCAATTTCCCACTTCAGAGCTGATGTGTATTACTTAAAAGATTTTTTTTTTTAATTCAAACAGAAGTATTATCCATTATAACAGATATTATAGTTTAAATGTTCTTGGCTTTTGCTGAGCGCTCTTGAGCATAGCCGTCTGTGCAGCAGCAAGCCAAAGTAATAAAGATCTTTAAAAGTAAAGTAATTTCAGTACACTAGAGGTTATCCTGCATTGCAACTGACAGTTAAACAGACGTGATAAAGATGAGGGTGTCTTGAGACTATACTGTAAAATAACTAGCTTTATCCAGAGCTAAAAAGCAGCACTGGTAGCTCCTTTCCTCTGTCCACAGTCCACACTGTAAACTGCTACAGATAAAACTGTCTCACTAATGCAATTCATGCTTTTAATCACAGTAGCTTTGAAAACATACTAGATAATACAATGGCATAGGTAGCAATACAAAACAGTCTGCTTAATCCATTTCAGTTTTAAAGCAATACTGCAAATGCGAACTAATGAGAAATACCAAATATTAACATCCATATTTGTCAGACATTTTACTTTTAAGGCTTTCTTTTTTTCCCCCCTGAAGGCAATGAAAAACAACAGAGGTAGTACTAGGGAAGAATGCAAGATCTACTGCATTTCATTTAATCAAGACAAATGTGAGTACTATTTCTCCATACAGAAAGTACTTTCTAAAATAAACAGCTAATGCTAAAACACTGCCAGGCTTTAATACACCATTTATTTTAGATTAGGTAGTAAACTGTACAGATTGTTACGATGTTTTCATTTTTCATATATGGACCATGGTTTTATTTACCAGATCCTCAAACTACTAAGAGGAGAGATCCACTGACTTACGCTTCCACTACTTTTGAACATCTAGGCCTAAGTGTAATTCGTTTAATCATTCCATCAGATGATGGACATCAAATTTTTATACAGGTTGTTTTTTGTGTTTTAAACCAAATGAACACTAGTTTAAAGGAAGTCAGTACACATTATTTATGCTAGAGCATTTGTCATTTGTAAAGCATGACTAAAAAAGTCTGTTACAAGCACAATTTTTAGTCCCCTTCAGAAGTATATTCTTGATTTCCAGCCTAATAAAAGTCACCATAGAACAGTGCAAGAAGGCTCAAAGTTCTTTTGGGCAACACAACACGAGTACAAGCAGCAGCAATCTCGCTAACTCATGCACTTACACAGCCCTGTGATGCTCAAGTTGCAAGTACCAGACTGCTCAGGGTGACCCGAGCAGGCTCTTAGCTAGATTTCCTTTCAAAACCTGAGCTCAAAAGCAGATAACATGAGCACATGACCTTCACTCCAAGCCAGCCAATGGGGGGAAGTGGGTCTATGCCTATAAAAATAATTTGCATATTTAGCCAAGTTTCTGTCAGTAGACCAAAAGACAAAACTCAGGTAAATGTAGGCACACTTAATCAGGTGAGTACTGAATTCTGAAGACTGCACTCAGTTTGTTGTGTACTTGTAAGGAAATGCTAGACTGAAGGATTAGCTCCTTCTGAAACATTTATGTATTGCCACAGGATACCCATACATCTCATACATTAAATCTGTGCACAGTTCCAACATATAAGTAATACTAATAAGTAAAACTTTCCTTCGTATTACGACACCGACTGCTTCTGTATTATTTGATGAATCCAACTTCCAACTTGGTAGGCTTTATGTTCCTTACCTGTAGAATTACTTACCTCATCATGCATCAAAATAATATGAACAAGAGTTGTCTTAATAGATCTATTTCTGATAAGAAAGTTAAAGACAGTGCACAGTAAATAAACCGTATTTTAATGTGTTACAAAAGGAATTAATAGTCAGGCTACCTCTCCCAACAGATGTCCAGTACTACTAGGTTTGACAAAGACTTCCTTTAAATAGCTTGAGATCAAACAGCTTTTCACGTTATCCTTTTTTCTTTCTTTGCATCTGTTTTGTAACACAAATACCATATACATTCATGGTTAATTTTTTTCACATAGAGGCAGTCTGCACAAAGCCCATATCTTACAAAAGCTGTTACGGCTGGTGAATCATATCTGTAAGAGATTACTTGCATTTGACTGTGTATCATATCGCCAAAATAATATACAAAAATCAGTTCAAGAAAATTACTTCAGTAACAACCGAGAGACAGGACAAGAAAGTGAGCAAGAGTAGTAGTGTGTCAAACTTTGAGCTAAAGCACAAAGCAAAAAAATTGTTTTTAAATTTGTCAGGTATTCTCTTAATGAGAAATGTAAAAAGACTGAAAACATCTCATTCTGTCTGCCCTTTCTTTGTTTTTTTGGTGTTTTTTGTTTGTTGTTAAACAAATGGCCTGTTGTATAGTTACAAACACTGTGAAAGACAACACCTTCTTTGTACCAACAAACCAACAAACAGAAGGATGCAAGGGATGCAAGAGAGTTTCTAAGCATCTCTAAATTTGAAACGTAGTTTTTTTTAAATGCGGAAAAATCCTTGTAATTCATTTTTGTTAGATCATAACTCAAAGTACAACAACATCTAGAGCTGTTTTTAAAGGAGCTTTCTTTCCTGATGCATCTTTGAACATAATTACTCCTTTCAAGTTCAGTACATTCACAAAATAGCTCAATTAAGAACAGTACCACCAATTAATTGACTACTGGAAAGAGACAAAATTTACCAAACATACAGAAATATTAATTTTACCATAGCAATTATGCATATCAAAAGATGACACCTGTATTTAACTTTTTAAAGATACAAAAAAAAAAAAAAAAAAAGAGAAAAACCTGAATTACAGAAAAGAAAGTCATATTTATTTAATGAAAAACTAGAAGTTAATAAAAATTAGCAAATACACAAAAAATATACACAAACAGCAGCAATACTATGTAGTGACTTACAAAGGAGGGGGGGAGGAGGGGCACGGGAAGCAGCGGCCAAAGCCCAAACCGCTCAACATGGCTTGTCAGTCAAAGGGGGAGGAAAAGAACACAAACAAAAACACGAAACAGTATCCTTTTCAACAGTACAATCAATCTACAAACAAGTTTTTAGAATTATTTTACAACATTTCCTGTAGAATCAATTCTTAATACAAAAGATGCCCATTTTGGGTGTATATATATTTTCAGTGGTTTACTGTTGACTTATTTTAAATATATTAGTGTTACTACATGCAACTGCTTCCTGTAATTTAACAGCCTTTCCTTTTATTTACCTTCATATATGTCTATCCTCCATCTACCAAATAATTTGTCTGACAGTCAACGATGGTTACCCTAGTTTCTGCTAAATTAAATGCAATGGTTTTAAACACTGGCCTGAAGAGGTTTGATTGCCATTTCAACACATCGATATAGTTACGTTGATGCCTAAATTGCCATTTTCTGCAAAGAGCTGTGCAATGCTGGTGTCAAAGACTAGACAGTCACTATTCATAATGGCTGTTGCAATTCCCTCATGGATAGATCGAGGAGTTGCTTCCCAAGTCAGTCGCCGCCTATGACCGTTTAACTCAAGTCGATAAGCAAAGTTTTCTGCTTGCTTGCGTGTTCCTATCAGCTGTACAATCGCAAAGAACTGCTGGTGACCATCATATTTTTCCTGTTTCTCCAATACTAACATGAAATGAAAGCCAAAACAAGACTGCATCATAACCCAGTCAACAGCACCAGGAAGATTAATGTCTGTAGCAAGAAACACTATATCTTCTCCCTGAAGTGTTGTAATTGACTTATGTTGATGCATCAGATGTGGCATTACAGCATCCAGAGAACCTTGCCATTTACATGAAGCACCAGGACATGGACAGGAATAAGGCCTAAACTCACATAGCTCCTCATGGTCTGCTTTTTCTGTGTGTGGCAGAGTTATCTCACATCCAGAAGAGGCATATTTACACGGGAATAGTACAGAATTGGCAACTTTCTCCATAGCCAGGTTACGAATGGAGCCCAGTGGGCCTCGGCAAGTTGGACAGCACGTAAGTTTGGGGCGACAGTTGCTACAAACAAGGTGGCCACTCTGACACTGAAGAATTGGTGGCAGCACATAGTCAAAACAGACAGGACACTCAAAGAGACTAGCCAAGTCATTATTGGAAGCTGTAGTGCCAGTCAGCGCAGGCACTCTCTGTGAAGGCGTACACTTTGAAGTACCTGTAGGTAGTGCTGTAGCAGTCTGACGGCTCATTTCTATAAGAGAAGAGAAAAAGAATGAGGATACTGCAGGGATTATATCTAAACACATTTTATTTTATTCTGCTTACTGTATTTCTTGATTATGAAAACAAATCAAAATAAATCAGACAAAAAGAAGTGAAACTCAAACATGCAATGCAGCTGTGCGTACTTTGCACGTAGATTTTCAGCTGTGTTGCAGAGAACAGACACTGGTATGACACCGATCTAAAAAGAAAAGATGTTCTGCTAACTGTTCTGAACTGGAATTTACCTATCGGAAGCTGCAGGGTAAATGTGTAAAGAAGTACTAAGCGTAGCTGAAATCTTCAAAGATTTTTGTTGTTGTCTGGTTGATGCTGTTGTTTTTGTCTTTGTTTTTTGCTGTTGTTTCTTTTAATATTGCACTTACAAAACATTCCATCTGGTCAGGTAGGTGTAACAACTGAGCATACTACATAATACAAATCTAAAGCTGAATTTTAAGCTTTACATAGAAGAAACCAGCCATATGAAATGAAAAAAAAAAAAAAAAAAAAATTAAAAAAAAAAAAAAAATTAATTTTAAAGTTTAAATAAAAAAAAAAAACAATATCAAATAAAAAAAAAAAAAAAAAAAAGCTTGAATATCATAATCCTATTTACTGTATCAGGATAATTAAAAAACAACAGCCACCAGTTACAAGGAAAAACATAGCTAAGATTATCCTACCCTGGGAAAGAGCCATGTAATACTGACTCTTCACTTCTATAGCTTTTGAAACATATCCATTGCTTTCACTTGCTGAACTAAACCATGTGTGAAGACATCAGGAAATAAACAGAAAACAGAAATTATTTTACTTAGCTTTCTAAGCAAGACAAGAAATGCAGAAGATGAAATTTGAGAATTAAGAATTAAGCACTGCTTATGAAGTTTTACATTCGGTAGTTTTCAGTTCTTTCCAATGTCTCTGAACCAGAGTGGCTGTCTGACTGCACAATGCTTTCAAGCATTCAACGAGCAATGGTAAAAGGCCTGTATGTCTTTTAACACGTACAGATGCCACGCTTTGTCCTGGCTCCCCTGACTCCCCTCCTACTTGCACAAAAGGAACCACTAGTATTGCCAGGAAAAATAAAAACTTAATATTGAGCAGATAACCCTTACCTCCATAGGTTAAAGTAAAATGCTATTCAAAACTGGAATCCATTATACAGAAACATTCTTAACCACCTTAAGTGTTTCTGTGCATCAGCCCTGTACCTCTTGTGTATGAAACCGAAAATAAACTTCATCTTTAATCTCCTTTATATTTGACATGGGAATATTAAGCAATAGGCAAGCTTCCCATATTTAGAATTATTTCAACCACAAACAAGCTTACTCATACTTGGACTAGATACCTCAAAGCAGCATACTGTGCGTGCTTTAGCAAGGCATGCGCTATTCAGGGCACGTGATGAACAAACTATGAGATTCCAAGAAGCAAAACAACTTTTCCCTTGACGTTCACAAAACAGCCACAGTGGTCAACATCACTCTTTTCAGCAAAAGCCCCTTTTCTCCAATCCAGAGCTCAAACACAGGTTTTTGGGAGCTGGCATTCAGTCTGAGTCTTCACTCTCACGTGCCCCATACCAGCATCATCTCACCCCTCCAAAGTCTTTTCTTCCACCTTGAGTGCCTTGCTCTCAAAATATCCAGATCTTATCTTTGGACATAAAACCACGCAGTAGTTTTCACTACTGGACCCTACATGGTCCAGATCCAAAAGGAATGGTAGTTTTTTGGCCTTGTTTTCCTACTTCAAGCATTTCCTCTAGATGGAAAGTTTAAGTGATCTATGACAAATCAAATCTATGCTCTGGGGAAGTGATGCCCCACCAGTTTGTTGCAGAGAGTTCAGACAGACAGCCCCAGTGATAACTGAGCACTACTGCTAGTTTTCTCCAAAATCTGCAGATGGGAGACTCGTGGTGTCATACTGTGGTCCAGGAAAACAAACTGCACACACAGAGTAATTGCACAGTACCACACTGCTTGGAACGAGCATAGAAATCACATACACATTCTTGTGTAAAATTCTGAAAACATCACCTTGCAGAAATTGTAAACACGTTTTGGAATAGTTTTTGTGTGCTTCATCTTACCTGCATCCACACCTCCTGATCCCCAGAACCCACAAACAACACTGGGAAAACCACTGTTCCCCAGGCAGTCTGACTGGCCGGGTGAGCTTTGCTCTGGCTGATAACACCTCCAGGAGCTGGTACCACAGGTAACCAACCTCCAAGCTTTGCACAAGACCTCGCACACAGATGCACTTCCACATCAGCTTTCAGTGCTTCAGAAGCACTGAAGAAGATACTGCACAGCCCTGGTTTGGCACCACTCCTGCCTGGCCTTCAAACACAACTGAGCACCATCCCACAAAGCATGGAGCCAAAATGCACAGGAATCTGTGAACTGAGCCACTGAAATGAACAAGCAAAGAAGAAGCTGGATAATGCAAGAAACTGCAGTTTACCAAGCCCAAAGCTGTCCAAAGCATAAGTTCCCGTTTTTCATAGATGTCTTAAAACCTACAAGGTAATGGCAAATCAAAGTGTTCATAGCATAATACAGTTAATCTGTATTTGCCTTTGTCAAACTTTCTCAGCAAATTACCAACCAAAACCAAACATCTAACTGGAAATAAGAGTTTAATGTTATTTTTAGTTACAAAACATTTTCTACAGGTCAAAAAAAACCCTCAAAAGAACCCAAGACAACACAACCCTATGTGCAAAGCTTGCCATTAGCTTTGTTCCACACACTGGGAGCAAGCGCATAAGCAATACCAACAAACCACAGGATGCTGGTTGTCATCTGCAGAAAGTAATTCCTACAACCCCTACTATTTGAAACATCAAACAAATCTGCCTAAGTTTAACCAGCAGAGTGAAAGAAGAGACGCACTTTAACACTCCCAACTCCAGCCCGAGAACAGCTCTGCTCTGGGTGAAACCAGCCCAGCCCGCTGATGGCCAGCAGTGCAGGAAGCGCATGGTAGCGTCACCTCCTGCGAGCCATGGGGCTGCACCAATGACAGATCCGACAGATCACACGAGGCACATTTCAGCGGAGGCAGCAGGGGAACACACTGCCAAGAGCTGTTCTGCTCAGAGACAAAGCAAGGCTGCAGCACCTGAGTCTTAAAAATGCTTTCCTACTACTTGAAATTCAGGTTCTGAAATTCAGGTAGACTGTGGAAGCTTTTACTGGATCCATAACACATGCAAGTTAGCACCACTGCCAAGGATTTGGTGCTCTTAACAGAAGACACTGACTAAATACACAGTATGTTTACAATTCATCACTGTATGTCCCACCAGGTGAGAGTCAAGGAAGTTTCCTAGGGACCGAGACGAAGAAAAGCAGCAGGAGCAACCTGTGGACTACGTGCCAAGAGCTCAGCAGTCAGTAAGCCATGCCCAATGCCCGGGGCTCCACTCCTGCCATGCATGGCTGTCCCAGCAGCCGCCAGCCCTGTACGGAGCCGTGCTGCAGCAAGCAACACCTGAACAGGCTGTGAAACCCCTGAGCTAAAGTCACTGTGAGAGCAGGAAGGTACAGCAAACTGAACAGCCCAGCTGACGTGCAGACACATGGAAAACACCTTCAAGAAAAGTTCAGAAAGGTAACATATCTCATGTGCCATGGAAGTAACACAGTACGTACGAATAAATTTGTGCCATCTCAGCTTCTCACCTCTCCAAGGCACTAGCTTCAGGCACCATCCTGGAATCCAAACTTAACCTATTTCACTGAAATAGAGGGTACTTTTAACACCCTCAGGCTAACACCATCAACTTTTCCGACACCTTTACTTGCTCTCAATAGATTACACTTGGGACTAATGCCTTAAATGCCTTTTGAGAAGGTAACAGAATTAGTGTTGGGGGGAAAAAAGAAACAAAACAAACCACCACCAAATATCTGCATAGTTACCTTAGTGTTTGAAACAAGAAAAAAAAATCTGTGTAGTGCCTAAGAATGGTGAAAGGACAGAAAAATGCCTTAGCAAAGGCTTCTATACGTGACGCAGTTATGTCAATCACATTTTAGAACTAAGTGAATTCAGAGAGTTGCATTCAAGAATCAGTAACTCTTAACACCTAACAGTTATGACCAAGGTAACACAAAATCTTTCATTTTTTCAGCTGCACAATTATATTTGAGAATGATACCTATATAAAGAAAAGCCCAGTTGTGGAGCACTGAGAATTGGATCCCTTCGTTACATAGCACTCAAATTTGTGGAGAACACTGACAGCTGGCTACTTTAAGATGCTGTAGAGTCCAAAGAATGCCAAAACCCCCAAACTAAGTCAACTGTTGAAAATACCAATTGCTTTGCAGGTCTAAATGATAACTAACAGTAAATACAGTTAGCCACTGCCATCAGAAATGCATGCAATTCAATATTCGTAACATTTATAACATAAAATAAACTGAAAGATTCGTGTCACCAGTACTTCATTGGCAGCAGAAGAAAGGTTTAGTGAATGCCTATGAATTATACAATCGTGGGACTGTTCATCCTCTGCGATTATCTGCAGTGAACCACCAGACCCCAACACTCAACACGTGTCTGATACTACCATGTATGTTCCCTTGTACAAATGCTATCACCAGCTGAGTCATTACTAGCGGGCAATCCAGATCTTTTCCAAACTCAGCATCTGTAGCAGATGCAAACAGCACTGTAAACACTAGCACTATGTTATTACACCCGTTTAACTGCAGTGACAAGTATCTCATCCAGTACAAAAACCTGAGTTGTGGCTAGTGTTATTTCATTTCAACCACTGTCATTAGCTCTTTCTCCTATCTCTGCCAGGACGTTGAACACCCACCCACATGCTGCCTGTTTCTAGCTGCCAAAGGTTTTCTTCCCAATAATTTTATGATGTAAAATTAGGAAGAGCAACCTAGACAAGGTATACAACAACCACATAAAACATAGCTTTTTTTTTTTTTTTTAAGAAACAAAGAACTTCATCAATTTCAGGTGAATAACCCATACTGTACCAATCCAGAACTTTGCAATTCAGTGCATAAATTCCAGAGAATCAAGATCAAAGTTAGCACTGAGTATCAGAGACTATATTGCTAGGAGACTAGTCCTGCAGAGAGATGAACTCTGAAACAAAGTACATAGGAGAAAAAATTCTAACCAATAAAGCCCCAGATTTCATTCTAGAATGACAACCAGAAATGTCTGATCAAAAGCAGTAATCCTGTGTCTGGCCCACTCAGTCTGCACTATATAATTAGAGAACATTCCATGTCTCACTCATATTTATGCTTAGAACTAAATAAGAAAACAGATTGATTTGTACACTCAGGCCATCAACAAAGTGTTATATAGCACTATATGACATCTCTCCCTTTTTTTTGAGCTTGAAAGGAGAGGAAGCAGAACAGAAATAAAAGAGAAACTATAAATGAAATTTCTGAAAATTCAAGCTGTACTAAAATCAACGCCACCGCTAGAAAAAGAAAATGCAGAGATACACTGTGTAAACTGGTATAAGCAAAAATCACTGATATTTGGTTGTCTCTTGTGATGAAAGACAGGCTAGTAAAACAATCTTTTCCATTACATATAGTTATAAATAGATAGAAAAAGAGCCACTCTTTAAATACAAATCAAAACCAAATGCTGGCATTAAAAGGTTGTGGATCATTTCCAAACAGGAGTTTAGTGTATTTTTTCCTTTTCAAAACCAAGTAAATAACTCAGCTTGCTGACACTGCAGGACCCCACCCACCACAGACGAGAATCACTGTTCAGAGATGCGCATTCTTGCACTGTACCTTTAGCGGTGCTCTGTGACCAAGGCCTCCTCTTTTCTCTGTTCACCAGCTCTGTCTTCAGTGTAACTATCAGCAGTCAGTCAGTACTCAGAGCATTCCCTGACAGAGGACGCCTGAACCTCCAGCATGCCCGCACCTGGAACCTACAGCATAACAAAGTGGTTTGAATGCAGAACAACAGCCGCCCGTCCCGTACCGCAGCCTCCTCTGGCTACCAAAGGAGTGCACCTTCCTGCAGTCTGCCACAGTTTGAGCGCAGCAAGGCTAAATGAGGTAAAGCAGAAGCACGGATTTCAAAATAAAGATCGTGGCAGAAACCAAAGAATCTGACAAAATAAAGACATGGTTCATGTGAAAACACACAGAACTCCACATGAACAATTAGCAACAGGGAAAACAGTTTTAATTCACTTATTTATATTTTAGCAGTATCTCATTTCCTTTCACCATGACTAGAGCAAACTAAACTGCACTACATCAGGATCATCCTGAAACAGTAATTCTGTCTATAAAAAACAAGTAAACAGACACCTTTTCAAAAGTTCCAGGCTTAGCAGGTTGCATTAAAAAGTAAGCAAGGCATACAAAGTGACCAGCTACTACGTAGATCAGTAAGTTGCAGGGGAAAACAAAAAGTTATTTTCCATGCTGTACCATCATAAGAATCTGATGCAGAAAGCACTGAATTCTGCTCTATGAAACATCATATCCATAGATGGACTCTAGACACAAGTTGAGGAAAAACACACAAGCACAGAACAACTCAGTGTTAACAGCAAATCCTACCAAGTGCGACAAATTGAGGGCTGCCTTTCTTTCCTCAGAGTGATTTTGCAAAAACTATATTCTTCACTGTATACTGTAATTGCCATGCAATATTGCATCACCACTGCTGTGTCTGTGGCAGACACAGGGAAGAGGGTGTGGCATAGAAGTGCCTACCTTAACTCAGTAAAGCTAAACTGAAAGAAATATCTATGCTTTGTTGTGCTTTCACATACAAAATCTTCCTGCAGTAACTATTCCAATTCCAGATCTATTTTGTACTCAGAAACTTTCCTGCATAACTAAATAGTACTAGAGAACAGACCATCAAAACAACGTGACCTGATTCCAGAAAGACGTGGCTCACAGGAGACCAATCACAACACAGAGCTGCTTTGTAGAAGGAAGAGTCAGAAAAGGATTAGGTATATAGACTACTTTAATACAGACCTCTCCATTTTGTGCATTGCTTAGGTTCATGTGTACTTCTGTCTTAAATATTAATTGGTTCTTGTGTTCTTTAATCCGTTCTGTATTTCTGTACACAGGGCTGAACAATGGAACCCAGTGGAGACGTGAAGAATGGCTCACCTGCCTGTGGAGGTGACCGCATACAGGAGGGCACGGAGACCTTTCTGCCATGAGGTACGTCACACACAGATGTACCACCATGTGTGGTTTCAAGTACAACCCCACAGCAGTAGCACTGAAAGCCTAACAGTGCAATTCACAGATCTGATTCCTCCCTATAAAATAGATATCCAGCTGTCCCTTTTCCAGTTCAGGTATTTAATCTTCTGATGTGAGCTGGAATGAGAATGTTTAGAAGAATAACAGAAAGACAATGTCCTCATTTTCTCTCTCACACCACTCACAAATGGGATAAAGTACACAGAACTTTAAATGTAAGGAAACAAGTCCATATTCTTAAAATGGGTATTCCTATATTTTTGAAACAAAATGTTCACACTATAGATGATTGTTTAAAGCTTTTCAGTACTTCGTTTCCTTAACTTCCCATTTTCTACATGCCCTGTGTTACTAGCATCCATTCTTTGAAGTACTTGTCTCCACTAAACCCAAAACTGTTTAGGTGACTCATTTGTTCTCTGCTCATTAGTTCTGAATCAACTGCTCCTGTTGTATTGTAGCATAAGGATTCAACTTTCACCATTTAAAATCTTGTTTTTAATTGTTATTACAATGCTACTTGCATTCTTAAACTCGGTTATTGGTAAGTTTACATGGTCCTACTTCTGCACAGAGCACCGACTCTACATTCCTTATTTCTTCAGAACACACTTTCCAGGAAACACTCATTTGAGAACATGGCTTTATCTCACAAACAAAAGCACTTTTCAGTCTTTCTTATCAACCTCAAGCACAGCACCCAGAAATGCTGTGCATTGCTGACTCCACAGACCACCACGTTCCACAAGAAGTTTCAGCATTCCTTGAGATGTGAAAAATAGAATTAGTGGTACAGGGCAGTCTGTGGCGTGGGATATTCGTGGCAGACCTGGGGTTACTTCCTGCTCCATCACAAGTGTCTGAGTCACCGCAGGCAACTACTTCCCTGCCTTTAGAGCACTGTGTGTAGCTGCAAGCCTCAGACAAAAATGCAAAAAGCGATGAATTAGCATGAGAAGGATACTAAATTAACTCTGTAGACCCTCTTCAAATTTACTTCCAGTCAGCAGCAACAAAATGTCACGACATGCTAAATGACATTATGTTAAACTATTTCAAGATCTCACTCCTTAATCCAGCAGTAGTCAGACTGCAATCACTGATTACTTTCCAAGGATGATCCAAGTCCTGCTCACATATGGATAACTGCCTTCTTCCAAGCCCAGCATGTTCTACATCAGAGACAAATTAGGGAGATGAGGCATTTGCAACATCCTTCTCACTGATTTTAAGTAATCTGAAGACCCTCTTCTTCCACCAACTCCACAATGACATTTTATGGAAAGCCAGTAATAGAAATCTCTCTTTGGAGGAATCCTTGGATTACCAAAAAAAGTTCTCCCAGCATTCCCTCTGAAGATCCAAGGTGAATAACCCAGGTTTTGAAGCTAGTGGTTCATATTCAGCAGAACAATAGCTCTCAGACCAGAGAACTGTATTTTCTTTTACCACTATTAATTTCTGTTCAGGTTTATCGAAAATATGAATGAAATGCGCAATTTCACTCACTTGTATCGCCTGGGAAATGCTTCATGGCATACAAAATTAAAATCCAGCCATAATCACTCTGAAGTTGGGCTGAGACTGTGCCAGAAAATAAAACACAGGCCATTACAAATGCTTGGGAAACGACAGGTGCAGGTACACCTTTCTGCCACTTTGTGCTCCCTCAGTACTTTCTAGATTCAAACATTACTACACCCTTTGCTGCAAAGTACTGTCCCCCCCTTCTGTCACATGGTTAGATCAAAACTTTACGTTGCAATGCTGAATCTGGAACATCAAACCCTAACAATGACTCACTACCTGAAATTTAACTGCAAATGTCAGTATTTTCAAACCTTTTTCTTTTATTGGAGTGTTACAAAGAAAAAAAAAAAAGGCTTTAGGTTGGATGATCAAGCACTCAAAATTAGAAAACAACGAAAGTTTGACACACAACTCTATTTCCTCCTATGCATATTAAGGAACAGCTCTCATGAAATACTCCCACTCACTCCTTTAGCAGAGCAGAATCTGTATGTACCTGGAAGAATTATATTTGCACAAAGAACAATACTCGTTCTTTAAACTGATCAGCTGGTTTAAAATAAAGCTGTTTAGGACAGCAGATATTTTAACACACACAGAAATGCTCTTAAAATTACTGCTTTACAGGTGCCGTTTAAATGAACATCCATCTCAACTTCTGTTATGAAGTGCCTGCTTTTATTTGTAAACTATCTATTTTACATGATTGCACTTGACCTAACACAAAGCCAAGCTAAAATTTTACAGTACACCATCAACATCTGCCAGCCAAATCTTCCCTCGTCACACCTGTGCAACCAGTCTTCAATTACACCCTGGGCACACTTGCATAATCACAGATATCAGCCATGTGGGGACGAGGCATACGCAGACGTCTCAGCTGTGTTAACTCCTCCGTGCTCCAAAAAGAGGGGAAAGAAAATTCTGCACATGGAACTCATAACCCTTATGATTTATACACATGTATGTGGGTTTATATATACTTCAAAATAAACAATTCAGTAATCAAGGGATCAGTTGAGAAGATTTTCATTGCTTTTACCAGAAGACAACTGCACATGCACAGAAGCAGAGGGCAAAGACCACGACTTCAGGCTTATCTCTATGCAAAACTGAACTACTTCACATCGATTTAAAAACTCCTTCAACTAGGAGTTTATCCTTAAAATGGGGTTATATATGCATCAATACACAAACGTATATAGAAATGTGTTTCAAATGTGATTTCCAGACCAACGCTAAGTAAATAAAGAAAAATCAAGATAATTAAGATATCTGATTCTAAGACAGAAATCTGAGGGGAGAAGAGCAGAGCAGAGTCCATTTTCACAGACTGGAGGAGAGTAAGTCCTGGTGCTAAACTGATACAATGAGCTATAGGTACTATTTTTCAAATAGAAAGTAGCAATATTACATGTTTTAAGGGCTCTTAAATATTTTAATAGCACTTCTAAGAACTGCTCACTTGCATATTCCTGAAGAGCCTTCAGATACCATTACAAACAACTAAAGAAAATGATTTATCTACAGTACAAAGAACAATCTGTCAGATCTGCGCTGCAGGACCCCAGGCACACAGTGTACATAGTGTGCCAGAGTGCAGTCCCACCATTCCTACAACAAACAAAAGCAAGCTGCCACCAAAAGGGATGGCTCTGCTGCCTTGTACCCATTCAGTTTCTCTCTGTTTAAAGTAATGCATTCAGCAAGATCAGCCTCACACAACTACACGAGTGCTTAGAGTGGCACAAGGAAGACATCAAAAACGAGCTGGCAGTGGGAGGGCAAGACTCTCAGCTGTAAGTCTGCACTTTCATTGATCCCAAGCTCTCCTACAAGGGGGGATGACTTCTCTTGCAGCAGCACTTGTTCTTATGTTACCAAGCAGGAGGCTATTCTGGGAAGTGAACCAGATAATAGTTGCCCGTTCCTCACAGGTGATTAGTTCTCTCCTGAACCTGGAACTGAAACAGCCCCACTGCATGTTCACACTGGTGCCAGCTTCACTGCAAGTGTCACATTGGTGTCACCACTGGTAGCCTGAGTAAAAGTTGTCTTCGGTAGCCCAGAATCCTATCCTCAGCATGCTACAACTTGCTCAAGCCTACATCTTCTGGTACTTCTTTTCTAAAACTGAGGTGTTAACAGCAACAAATCATGCGGTTTAGAAATAAAGCTCTCTATTAGAAAAATCACTTTTAAAATCCACTTCAGTGTATACAGCACATTTTGGCATAAAGAAACAGACTAAGATTTACAACATTTATAATCCTAGTATTTCAGTTATCAACCCCTTAGCAGGTATAGAAAACACAGAACTTTTTTTTCCTCTCATGGAAGTTCTGTAACAAACAAGAAATGACTCTATATACACCTACATTTCTAGGTTAAACATCAGCTCTAGCAATCTTTACATAAATGAATTTATTTTGAAGCTTTCTCTTCCCTAATTTAACACTAAGTTGTTTTGAAATACTCCTTCTCCACTTAAACCTTTTCAATCTTTTGACAATTTATGCATTAGTAAAATGTAACATACAATTTTCCTCCAACATTTCATCTGAACATGTGTTTGAGAACAACTCTTAAAGCTGTGGCACTCTACATTCTCCGCCTTGACAGCATTCAAACTACAAACACAAACACTGAAAAGCCACTGCTGTCTTTCATCAAAGACTAAATGAAATTTTGCTCTGTTTTGTACTACATGTGAGAAACGTAGGAATGAACATCAAAACATGAACTTAAAGGCTTCATAACACAGACACCAAAGTTCAAGAATTGCCGCTCCACTTTAAAGGAGCTGATGGCTACTTCGAACAACAGACATTATTACGCTCTGCTTTTCTTAGCATCTCAGCAAGGTCATCAACTGTTACAAGAAGAGATACACAACTGCTTCTACATAAGGCAAACAAAAAAGGAAGCAGTCAACAACTGTCTGCAGGTGGATTTCCTGTTCTTTTCTAAATCCATTTCCCTACAGGAAAATATTCATAGTAATTTTATAAACACATTTCCGGATGCAGAAGGACAAAGACAATTGTCACCATTCAAATGTTTTACTTCCTACTGAAAACAGACAATCTCAGCTTCCATACTCAATTCTCAGTGCTATGCTTCTACAAAGAAACAAGTCACAATCAGAAATGCACCATTTGGTTAATGGTAATCATCTAGCTCTTTATCTGATTAAAGCACTGGGGCATTAGTAACCAAATCTCTCATTATTCCTGTAATAACACAAAAAAATCACCATTTTGTAGATTAACTCAAGCAGGAATATATTTAAAATAGTTGTCCAGAACATTACAGAAGCATAGCATGTACTGTGGATTAGAACTAGAGTGTGGATGTGCTTATATTTTTCTCTTTTTTAGATGAAGCATGGCATAAAACTTAAGAGTATTAATGGAGCATTACTGCCAGGTTTTGTTTTCCTTTCCTAGCATAGCTAACATCTGAACACTCAATAGCATGGTAAAAAAAACCCAAACCAACAACTTCAAGTGAGCAACTTGGGAAGATTTGTTAAAAACAACTGAGAACTAACAGGAAAAACTCCATAAAACCTGCAACATGCAGTGAGCATGCAGTATTTATACGCATCTCTCCATTTGCTCTTATTTTACTGTTCACAATGCAATACCATAACAGAAAGCACAGACCAAAACTGCTTTTCTCCCGTGATGCTGTGCTGATGCTGCTTAAGATATTAACAGCACATACATTCTGAAACAGTGCAAACTGCCTCCAAGGATTCTTATTAATAAAACAAACAACAGAAAACATTTCACTGAGGAAAAGATGCCTCTACTTTCAGTGTATTTCTCCCCAAAAGGGAGATCTCCTACTATTCTTTTTTCCCCACATACCTAGTTTTCACTTTTCTTAAGGATAATTTTCCTTTAAAAAAAAAAAAAAACAAAAAAAGAAACCAGAAAAGCAATTAAAAAAGCACGATTAAATCAATTAAAAGCCATCTCTTAAACGTTCACCTCAGAGAAAAAAAGCTAAGCTTTGAGCCTTAAGCAATAGCTGAGATGGACTAGAGCTTGACAGCGTCTTTCCAGTGTACTTCACTGCAACTGGCTTCCTGTGCTTCCTGTTTCTATGAAGCACTACCTGTGCTGAGGTACAGCAGTGAGGGATTCGGGTAACTCTACAGACAACTGTGGGAAACACCCTGAGCACCCACAGACTGCAAAGGTGCAACACAGCTCAGTAAATGAGTTAGCTTCTTATGTGTGCCCAGAATTTCTTCCATAGATTCACCTTCATTACTTGGTTCAGCTTGCTTCCAAAAAATGAGACAACCGCTAAAGCAACATACACAGTGATATTCTACTTGGCAAAACTTTGCCCAACTTTTAAAGCTAACAGTTAAAAACTAGAAATGCTACTGCAAGCAGAAAAATCAAATAAAGCTCTTTTAACTTAAGAACATCATGTTTCTCATAAGAACTGAATATCCAGTTTTCCAGAATATTTTGTGTGAAGACCAGAGCTCTTAAAACTATTCTGCCTGATTTCTTCGAGCATTCAGACCAGCAGGATTTGCTCTGACATAAACTCCCTCATGCTCCCCCCCTCCCTTGCCTGGGAGCAAGTGTCCTTGACATCCAAGTAGACTCCTTTCTCAGTTCGCACTGAGCAGACAGCAGCAACAATACTCATGCCTAAGCACAGAAGATACTTCTGGTATTTAAAATATTTACTTTCCTTAGTTCACACCTACTTAGCTGGAGCCACTGGATTTCAGAGCTAACTAACTCACAGTATAGTCTAATAAGACTACAGCATTAGAACCTTACCAACGTAAATATGGATTACTTAACAAGATACTCTGTCATGACTGCTTTCAGGATAAAAATGCTCATTATTTCATCTTTTAGAATTTGTGGGTCACAACAGACTCCTAAAAGTATACAAGAGATTGTTCTTAACCTTGTGCTTTCCTGCATAACTTTTCCCTACCGTAAAAATGCTGGAGGTAATTAAGAACATCCGTTTCCATTGAACTTCATGCAATTATCATCTCTAGCACTCAATTTCAACATCAATATTACAGCATAGAGCAAATGCTAGAAATAGATACAATGCAGTCTATTCTTCAAGCAAGTGTACTCTTCTGCAGCAGCTAACCAGCCCAGAGATTGGAATTTTAAGTACCAGCCTCAGCATTAGTCTACCTGTACTGCAGTACCTCAAACGTTCTGGAAGACCAGCCAGAGGAACTCGGTTGAGAAGAGTCCCTTCTGTCTTCCTCCCCTTCTGGAATGTGCAGTGCTGGCCTCTGAGTTTAGGAGGAGATAAACAGAGAACTGAAACTACATCCTGTGCGTGGAACATCCCACGTCCTTCCTGACCTACTGCACTTTGCTATGAGCCTCCCTAAAAACCACTCACGTGCACCTCAAGAAAATTAAAGCCACTTTACCTATTTAACACTGAAGCAAATCACTCATTACAAAAAAGAGCTAGCGTTCACCAAGACCGGCTGAAATAAGAACCAAAGAGAGAATATTAAGAAATACATTTACAACTGTTACAAACCGTGAACTCAAACTATTAAAGGTGCCACCAGTTCATCACTGGAATAATCGCTCGCGTCTTCTCCTCAAGTAGCGCCTCCACAATACGTGCTACTGTTCCCCGTGTTTTAAGACTATGATAAGTAAGAGCAGAAAAGGGAAAGAACTGAAGGTCTCCGGCCTTTTAAACGTGTAGAGCTAAACAAGAATCTGCCCCACGCGCCGCGCAGAACCTGAACAGCAGGGGCACGCAGCCGCCCATGCCTCCCGCACAGCCTCCCCCCGGTCCCCACGCCGCTCCCGGGCTCCCCCCGCCGCCGCGGCCCAGCTGACCTTCGGCGCGCGTTGCCCCGCTCGCACAAAGCGCGGCGGCGGGGCCGGGCCCACAAAGGGGCAGGCGGCCCCGCGGCTGAGCGGCGCAGGCCTCGCGGCAGGCCCCGAGCCGGATCCGGGCCGGGCCCGCACCCGGCGCACGATAGCCCGGCGGCACCGCCCGGCCGCAGCTCCCCTTCCCCTCGGGGACCCGGCGGACCCGGCGGCGGAGGCCCCGCCGCGTCTCGGCGCCCGGGCCGAGCCCCTCTCAGCCCGGCCGCGAGCGGGAAGCCGGCCGCGCTCGGGCCGCGCCGGGGCCTCGTCCGAAGACTCGCCGGAGGCCGCCGCGCCGTCCCCGAGGCGGCGCCGGGGCCTTCCCCGGGCGGCGGCCCGCGGCCCC